GGCACGTTCGCCGAGGGGCTGTTTCCTCCCATGGAAAAGGCTAATAAGCTTGCCCCCCACTGGGGTGGCCGCGAAAGAGCAGGAAGGAGGAGCCTGTGCAGGGCCCGGCCCGCAGGGGGCAGCGGTGACCGGTGTGTGTCCCCCTCTGCCCCAGTTCGGCTCCCTCTTCAAGCCCTACATCCGATACTGCGTGGAGGAGGAGGGCTGCATGGAGTACATGCGCGGCCTGCTGCGCGACAACGACCTCTTCCGGGCCTATGTCACGGTGAGGGCGCAGGGGCGCTGGTGGGCGGCGCGGGGCAGTGGGCCCACCTCGGCGGCCGGTGCGCAGGAGCGGGCAGGGGGCGGGGCCTGCGGCCGGGGCGGGGCCTGCCCTGAGCCCCGCCCCCGCCTCGCGTGGTAGTGGGCCGAGAAGCACCAGCAGTGCCAGCGGCTGAAGCTGAGCGACATGCTAGCCAAGCCCCACCAGCGGCTCACCAAGTACCCGCTGCTGCTCAAGTCGGTGCTGAGGAAGACGGACGAGCCGCGCACCAAGGAGGCCGTCATCACCATGGTAACCAGGGCGGTGTGGTTCCCTCTGCGGCGAGCGGGCCCTTCCTGGCCCCGCGTCCGAACCAGCCTTCGTCCGCCCCCAGATCAGCTCGGTGGAGCGCTTCATCCACCACGTGAACGCGTGCATGCGGCAGCGCCAGGAGCGGCAGCGGCTGGCGGCCGTGGTGAGCCGCATCGACGCCTACGAGGTGGTGGAGGGGAGCAACGATGAGGTGGACAAGGTGGGTGGCCCGGCCTTGCTGGGAGGGAGGAAGGGGCCCTGCTGGAAGCCCACGGGAGGACTCCAGCTGAGATGGAAGTCCGACCCTGACCTCTCCCCGCCTGCGCCCTCACCGCAGCTCCTGAAGGAATTCCTGCACCTGGACCTGACCGCGCCCATCCCTGGTGCCTCCCCCGAGGAGACGCGTCAGCTGCTGTTGGAGGGGAGCCTGAGGATGAAGGAGGGGAAGGACAGCAAGGTGACTCTTGGGGCCACCCCATACCCAGGGCCCTGCCCCACCCCCTCTTGCCCTGCTGGTTTGGACCACCCCTTCTCAGGCACCTGCTGGAGGTAGCCAGTGGTTCTCAGCTGCCCAGTCAGCTGGGTGATTCAAGAACTAGCCATCTGGGTTCTGTGCTTTACAAATTCAGCAGCATGGTCACCGGGTACCTACCTGTCTTGCCCATTTGATGCTATGTGGGCTCCTGGTGGGAGAGAGGCGGTGCATTCTGTGAGCAGGGCAGGAACAGCCCAGCCCCTTGCTGTTAACCCTTCCGGTGCGGTGTAACCCAGAGCCTGCAAATCGTGATGTTAAAATGACCTCCCTTTTCCTCTGTAGTTTCAAGTTTTAATTGATAAAAGTCACAAGTACATAGCTTGATAGAAGAAAATGACCTGTCTCTGTTTGAATTTTCCTTTCAGGTTCATGACGGTGGGGGCAGGGGAGGTGTTTGACAAAGTCTGAGTGCCCCCAGAGGGCGTGGCAGCAGACAGGCTGAGGGTCCCTGTCTGAGGTCCCTGGCTGACCTCTGGCCTCTCCTGCCCCCCCCCCCCCCAGATGGATGTGTACTGCTTTCTCTTCACGGACCTGCTCTTGGTGACCAAGGCAGTGAAGAAGGCTGAGAGGACCAAGGTCATCAGGCCACCACTGCTGGTGGACAAGATCGTGTGCCGGGAGCTGCGGGACCCCGGTGAGCAGCCCACCCCTGCTCCTGGGCATGGGCCGTGATGGGCAGTGGTCGGAGCCGACGCTGACTCGCGTCCTTCCTAAGCAGGCTCCTTCCTGCTCGTCTACCTGAATGAGTTCCACAGCGCCGTGGGGGCCTACACGTTCCAGGCCAGCGGCCAGGCCTTGTGCCGGGGCTGGATGGACTCCATTTACAATGCCCAGGTGAGAGCAGAATGATGCGCGGGTGGGCAGGGAGGCCGGTGGGGTGCCGCTCACAGCCCGCTCTGCCCGGTGCCTCCACCCCACCCGCAGAACCAGTTGCAGCAGTTGCGGGCACAGGACCACACAGGCAGCCAGCAGCATGTGCGGAGCCTGGAAGAGGAGGGGGATGAGCAGGAGGAGGACGAGGATGAAGACGAGGAGGAAGAGGAGGGTGGGGAGAGCAGCACTTCGGCTGCCAGCTCCCCCACCATCCTGCGCAAAAGCAGCGGCAGCCTGGACTCCCAGCACCGGTATGCTTGCCCAGGAGCACCCAGCAGGCTAAGGCAGGGCAGGCGCCGCAGCCCAGGACTCCCGAGCCAAGGCCTCAGGGTGGGGCCCGGCTCCGACCCCGACCCCTTCCTCTGAATGGCTTCAGGTGAACTCAGCAGGGAATGGGTGTGGGTTCTGCCTCCCACCACAGTCCAGGTGGGGATGGCAAAAGATTTTCAGCTGGACTGCCAACTCTGACTCATTAGTAGCTGCCTGGAGCTGAGCTGAGGACTCAGTGTCCTACGGGAAAGAGCTCCGTGATGGTGACAGATGCCGATACTGATGTCTGTGTCGGGCCCAGGAGTTGGGGGATGGGGGCATGTGCCACGTTTGCCATCTCTGAGCCTCAAGTGCGGGGAGGGCGGAGGCTGTAGACCTCTGCTTTGCCCAGCCCAGGGCTGTCCTGGGCCGGCGCCGTTTTCTGCGTCTTGGCTGACTCTCTCCTCCTGGCCCACAGTGTCTCGGATGGCTCCACAGAGACCCTGGCCATGGTCGTGGTGGAGCCTGGGGAGACGCTGTCCTCTCCTGAGTTCGAGGGTGGCCCCTTCAGCTCCCAGTCGGACGAGACGTCTCTCAGTACCACTGTCTCATCCGTCACGCCGACGAGCGAGCTGCTGCCCCTGGGCCCCGGGGATGGCCGCTCCTGCTCCATGGACTCTGCCTATGGCACCCTCTCCCCCACCTCCTTGCAAGACTTTGTGACCCCAGCCCCTGTGTCGGAGCCAGTGCTCCGGCCTCTAGATTCACAAGCCCCTTCACCCCCATCCTCGCCCCGCCTTCGCCGCCGCACCCCTGTCCAGTTGCTGCCCCGCCTGCCCCACCTGCTCAAGTCCAAATCTGAGGCCAGTCTCCTCCAGCTGCTGTCAGGGGCCACCACCCGTGGAGTGCCCGCCGCCCCCAGCCGCAGCCTGTCGGAGCTCTGCTTGGCTGCCGCAGCTCCCCGCACTAGGACTCCGGGCTCCCCTCAGGGGGCTGGGCCCAGCTGGAACTATGGGGGGGCACCGAGCCCTGGCGGGGGCTTCCAGCCATCACAGACGGGGAGCAGAACCCCCTGCCTGGCCGGGGAGCCTGAAGGACCTGCCAGGAGGAGCAGACAGCTGCCCTCGGGGGCCTCACCCAGGGTCCAGCCTGAGCCTCCCCCGGGAATCTCTGCTCAGCACAGGAAGCTGACGCTGGCCCAGCTCTACCGAATCAGGACCACCTTGCTGCTGAACTCCACGCTCACTGCCTCGTGAGTGGCCTGGCCTCGGGTAGAGAGGGCCGGTGGCTCAGCGTGCTGGCACTGGGGCGCTGAGCCCTGGGAGTAGGCAGGGGCATTGTTCCGGCTGGGATGTGGATAGGAGCGGGAGCCTGAGGCCTGCCCCAGAGCCTGGGTGAGGGTGTCTTCGGTGAGCAGTGGTAAAGGGGTCTAAGAATCCTAGTGGGGAACAAAGGGTGGCCAGACTCCCCCTGAGTAGCATCAGCCAAGGAAGGATTGTCTCTCCCCTCCCCTGCAGGGAGGTCTGAGCAGAGGGAGGCCCCCAAGGGTGCCACTGACCACGGGACAGCAGACAGCATGCCTCCTGGGGCGTGGCGGCCCCTGTCCAGCTGCTGCCTTGTGCGTGCACCAGCCGTAGTGCTGGGCGGGAACCCTGCCATCGCCTCAGGCCGGTTTGCACTTTGCCAGACTGGATGGAAGTGGAGAAGGCTGCAGTACCTCTCAGGACCACCCCCCACGGCCCCCATCTTCACTAACCTGCCTCCCCAACCCCACCTGCCCAGCAGGGTTCTTTGTCCCCTACTTCCTGAAGTCACCAGCTCCAGTCCACTGCGCTGTTCTCCAGGGCCACCCACCTCTGCTCTCATCTGGCCCCAGACAGGACCGTCACCTGCCCTGGCCTCCCTCTCTCCCCCCCAGCCCTGCTGGCCACCCCAGGCTGGGGTCGGGCTCCGTGTAAAGTTGCATATTTATTGAGCTTTTGATTCTTTTATAAAGACGTGTATATACTCCACTGGAAGGCGTCCTTTGCTTTTGGAACCCACTCCTTTCAGGGCGGGGGGAACTGAGCTCCTGCCCCCTCATCTGTGGTGGGGCACCGCTGGAAAAGAGTGGGAAACCAGAGCGAACTAGGAGGCTGAGGTCACCAAACCCAACACCCCCAGATCAACCCGTCCCCTGCCTCAACCCCGAGGTCTAGCATTAGAGCCCCATGTGGCACCTCAGAGCACCCTGCCCTGGGCTGCCCCTGGGAGCTTGTGCCAGGGTGGGGACCTGCCTCAGGCTCACTGGGAATCTCCCCAGGACTCCCCTCTAGGACAGGGGGCCCCTGTACCCAGACCCACGCAGTGTGTGGGAGGGTGAGCCCCCATTTGGCTCTGAGGCTCAGAGGGGAGGAAATTACTTCACCTCAGAGCCATGGACTCAGGGTTGGGGACCCAGAGGCAGCCCTGTTGTCTGTGCACCTCGCTGCCCCGGCCACCTCAGGTGAGCCCAGGTACACTAGGGACAGCTCCCCCACCTCCCCATCCCCCACCCCCAGGCTCAGGACTCCGCTTCCAGGGCCCCCTGGACCCTGCTCTGACCCCCACCTCGGAGGCAGGCTCACGGGTGGCAGGGGGCGGGCCCTGCGGCTCGGGCTGCGTGCTGGGCGGGTAGCGCCGGGTAGAGCGGGGGAGTGGGGAAGCCCCCGCAGGCACATGCCCGTCCCAGCGGAGGGCCCAGAGCGGCGCGGGGCCATGGAGCGGCGGCCCCGGGGCTCTGCGGTGGCGGCGGCTGCAGTGAGTGGGGGCCCTGGGGGTGGAGGGCGGCCTCACATCTCTGGGCCTGGATCTGCAGCCAAGGAAGGGGCGCGCGAATATCGGAATCTCCACTCCCAGACTCTCTGGGGGCTGGGCAGGGCCCCCTCCCTGACCTAGTTAGAGGCTCTTCCAGGGCGGGCCTTGCGGATGGGAGGAAACACCCTTCCAGGGGCCCGCGGGGTCTGGGGGCCCGGGCAGAGAAAGGTCTGGGTCCCCTACCACCGCAGGAAAAGCAGGGGTGGGGTGGGGCTGCCCGAGAGCTGGGCTCTGGTGGAGGGAACCTGTGAGGGGCTGGAGACCACTCCCCTGCTTGTCAGAAGCGGCCTGTGCACGGGGAAGGAAGTTAGTCTCACCTCCAACCCATGGGCATCCCTTCTGCTCAAGAGCCTGAGAAGTGGGCTGCTCTGAGGGCAGGGAGAGACCCCGCGTGGGGGGCCACACTGGACCCAGCAGCACCTGTCTCCCAGGCCCTCCTCCTCCTCCTGCTGCTGGGCACCCAGGGCCAGGGCAGCACTCCCAGCCCCAGGTGTGACTGCGCCCACAACTTTCAGAAGAGGAACAGTCAATTCTGTTGCGGGGTCTGTCCAGCAGGTGAGTGGTGGGAGGGCTGGGAGGGGTGTGGAGGGGGGAAGTGAGGGCAGACCAGGGATGGGGGTGTCAACTGCAGGGGGAGGGTAGCAGGCAGGCCAGGGATGGGGTGAGGGGAGGCTGGGAGCCACAGATAGGAAGGGAGGGAGGGGAAGGTGGGAGCCCCGTTTGACTCTGACCCCAGCCTGGGTTCCACAGGGCAGTACCTAGCGGCCCGCTGCACTAAGCCTTGTGGCAATGTCACCTGCCTTCCGTGCCCCCAGGGCACCTTCCTGGCCAGGGAGAACCACCGCGAGACTAGCTGTACCCGCTGCCTGGCCTGTGATGAGCAGGGTGAGGAGCTGCCTGGGCTTCAGGGAGGGGCCTGAGGGCAGGCTGTGGCCAACGTCTTTCTGAAGGAAGTGGCTGGCTTGGGCCAGCTTTGGGTGTGAGGGCCCCTCTACCCGGGTCCTGCCTCAGGATGCCTTTGTGCCTTTCTTCCTGGTGACGGTGCCCTTCCTGTCTGTGTACCCACCCCAGCATCTGGTCTGTGGTGATTCTGCGCTTCTCTTTCGAGTGTGTGTGTGTGTGTGTGTGTGTGTGTGTGTGTGCTGTCTCTGGTCTTTTCCCGCTTCTCTGCGGGGGGTCTCTGCCCCTAACTGCCTCTGCCCTCCCATCTCCCTGCACCCCCACCAGCCTCCCAGGTGGCCCTGGAGAACTGCTCAGCAGTCAGCAATACCAGGTGCGGTTGTAAGCCAGGCTGGTTTGTGGAGTGCCTGGTGGCACACTGCATCGGAGGCTCACCCTTCCACTGTCAGCCGTGCCGAGACTGCGAGGCCCTGCACCGCCACACGCGGGTGCCCTGTGAGTACCCCCAGTGCGGTCTACTGACCCCCCACACCCTTTCTCCCTACTTTCCTCTCTCCCATCTTGATCCACAACATCTCGGACTGCAGGTTCCAGCAGAGACACTGAATGTGGGACCTGTCTGCTTGGCTTCTACGAATATGACAACAGCTGTGTGTCCTGCCCCACGTAACTTCCTGGCTGCCCTGGGAAGGGGGAGGGAAGCTGGGAGCAGAGTGGGGGTGCAGGGGCAGGGAGGTGGCCCACTTCAGGCAGATACGTAAGGGAAATCTGGGTGCACCCTGCCAGGTCAACAGGGTCCCTGTAGCAGCCCTTCCAGCGTCACGGGTAGGACCTGCTGCCCACAGAGACGGTCACAGTGGGACAGTTCCAAAACTTGGGCTGAGGTTCAGGACCTGCCACTTGTCCTCTGGAGGATCATGGGCACGTTCCTTCACCATTCTGATGTGTGGTCCCCCATCTGAACATGGGGTGTTAGTAGGTCCAGCCCAGGGCATCTACCATCTCCAGACACTGTTCCAGATGCTGGGATACAACAGGGAACAAAACAGGCAAATCGTGGTTCTTAAGGGGTTGGCATTCTAGTGCCCTTCAATCTGGTCTGGAAGAAGTTCAATAAATCATGGTTGATAGTGTTACTGGGGGCATTTCAGCAGGAATATTCTGGGTAGACTGAGGTTCCCGGGGAAGAGGCCTGGCGCAGGGAAGGGCCTTCGGGATGGAGAAGATGCCAGGCAGTCCCGGATGGCCCCCCTGTGTGCAGGCCCTCACTGTCACCCACCCTCCCCTGGCAGGAGCACGCTCTGGAGCTGTCCTCAGCCCTGCGCCGCCGTCTGTGGATGGAGGCAGAGTAGGTGGTGTGCGGGGAACGCCGAGGGAGAGCTGGGGTGGGCCGAGGGGAGGTTGGGGGTGGCTACCACCCACCACCCACCAGCTCCTCTTTCAGTGTTCTGGGTCCAGGTGCTCCTGGCAGGCCTGGTGGTTCCGCTTCTGCTCGGTGCCACCCTGACCTACACATATCGCCGCTGCCAGCCCTGCAAGGCCGTGGTTTCTGGTAAGTGCGAGTGTGTACGTACACATGCACACGCACACGTATGCATGCACACACAAGCATGCACACCCTCACATGCACACGCGCCTAGGAGCCTGGGGTCAGGATGGGGAGCCCAGAGCCCACGCAGCCCTGATGCAGAGGGGGACACTGGGAGGGAGTGCTGGGGTGTGTGTGCCTAGAGGAACCCGAGAGAAGGTGGACCAGCACCAGGTCCAGGAGCCCTGCCTGGTTGCTGCTTAGACTTATTTCTCTCAGCAGGCGGAGCTGGGATGGAGACCCTGCCCACCCTGCCGGTAAGAATCTCCGTATGTTCTGGAAAAGGGGGAGCAAGCACCCGGGCCTCAGCCTTCTGCAGCCGAGAGGTTGGGCCTCGTGATAAGTCATGGTGCTCAGTGCTGTCTGGCATGGAGTAGACCAGATAAACACATGTGCCAAGTTGGCAGTGAAGGAGGGTAGCTCAGTGCCTACCCTCAGGCGGCTGGGCTCACAGGTGAACGGAGCTAACAGTTCAGAGGGACGAGTGCCCCCATGGCAAGGTGGGGGCGGGGCACTCCAGGCAGAGGACAGAGCTGTCCACTGGGCCAGGGGAGAAAACATGGCCGGCCGAGGGGAGGCGGCCCTGGGGGTGTTTGCTGGCCTTACTAGGTCAATAGGTCTGACTTGGGGCCTCTCTTGTCTTCCAGGCCACCCACCTCTTATCCCCGGACAGTGCCCAGACCCTTCTGGTGCCACCCAGCGGCAGTGAGAAAGTCTGCATCAGCCAGTTGGTAGGCAACAGCTGGACCTCCGGCTGCCCCCAGACCCAGGAAGCTCCCTGCCCGGAGGTGCCATGGTCCTGGGACCAGCGGCCCAGCAGGGCTCTAGGTAAGGGATCTCAGTGGCCTGAGGCCTTGACACCATTCTCCTAAGTCCGAGGAGAAAAGCTTTGGTTTCCTGAGGTGCCACTGGCCCGCTTCCCGTTCCCTAACTGGTGGACCTCCCTGCCCCATTGGCTCTCTGGTCTGTCCCCAGGCCCACCGCCGCTTTCGCCAGCGCCCCCTGCCGGTTCGGCGGCTGCCATGCTCCAGCTGGGCCCACAGCTTTACGACGTGATGGACGCGGTGCCCGCGCGGCGCTGGAAGGAGTTCGTGCGCACTCTGGGGCTGCGCGAGGCCGAGATCGAGGCCGTGGAAGTGGAGGTTGGACGTTTCCGAGACCAGCAGTACGAGATGCTCAAGCGCTGGCGCCAGCAGCAGCCCGCGGGCTTGGGCGCCATCTACGCGGCCCTGGAGCGCATGGGGCTGGACGGTTGCGCTGAGGACCTACGCAGCCGCCTGCAGTGCGGCCCGTGATGCGCGATCCACTTCAGCTGGGGGCTCGGGGCCCTTGCAGAAGCCCTAAGTACCGTTACTTATGCGTGTAGACATTTTATGTCACTTATTATGTATGCCTCTGGCAGGGCCCTGCGTAGCAGCGCCAGCCGACCTCACCCCTGCGCGCCCCCAGAGTTCAGGTTAACGCAAAGAAGCATTGACGAACACCGGGAGGGTGACAATAAATTCCTTGGCTGTTTCACAGCCTGAGTTTGGCCGAGGCCATGGTATTAAATCTAAGGAAAAAGCTGCTGCTTGGTGTTTCCACGGGGCTGGGGGGTTAAGTGGCCCAGGCTTGGTTTTCTGGGGGTATCGAAAGGGCCGATGTCCTGCCACCCAGAGCCTGGGACCCACGGTGGGAGCCAGAGTGGCCCTTAGCGCCCAAGCCCGCCCCTCCCACCCCCTGTGCTTGTTACCCCGAGAGGAAGAGGAAGTCGGCGACTGGAGCGCGAGGGAAGTGAACGAGCCCCGGCGTCTGAGAGAGCTTTAATACGGGCAGGAGGTGGCGGGGGCGCGGGGACCCAGGGGCAGCAGTCAGGGACAGGTGCAGGGCCCCTCATCCTCCATCCACTCCACCATTGCAGTGAAAGGGTCCGAGGAGCCCGGGGCCTGGCTGGGGAGGCGCGCAGACTTAACTGGAGGAGGAAGGTGGGGCCCCGGGAGCGGCAACTCCGTCCCGACGGGCAGTTTTCTTCATTTCTGGTAAACAAATGACTGAGAGGAAACCCTTGGTGGGGATGGGAAATGCGGGCTGGGCTGGGCTGGGCGCATATCTAGGTCAGGGTGGAAGGAAAACCCCTTCCCCCAGGGCTGGGACCTGCCTCCGCCCAGGATGCGCCAGCGACGCGGGTTCCGGGGTGCGGGGGAGGGGATGCAGCCAGTACCCCTCCAGCAGGAAAACAAAGTCACCACCCACGGGGCTGGGAAGAGCTCTGCACACGCTGACATTCAACGAACATGCAAATGTATGTAAATAGGCATGCAAATCAGCAGCGTTTGCGTCAATGACTTGGGCACTTTTTCTGGGCGACTGCAGCGGTGGGGCACTCCAGCATTGTCCCGGGCTGGGGATGCGGGTGCGAGGGCCCGGGTGGGGGGTCAGGGAGGGGGTTGCATCGCTGAGGGGGTGGCATGGCTCCCCAGCCCTTCCATCCAGGCCTGGCAGGCTGGGGCAGGGGCTGCCTCCTCCCCCAGCCCCCCCAGCCCCAGCTGGCTAGGATGCCGGCAGGAAGCAGCATCTAGTACTTAGCGATGTCCCCCTTCTTCAGGATGATCTGTCGCTGCCAGGGCGCCAGTTTGGTCTCATCGTAGCCCAGTGTCCGAAGCTTCTCTGACTGTTCTTTTTCCCGCTGCATCTCCTCCTGCTTCTGTCGCTCCTCCTCTTTTCTAGACATGGGGTCAGGGCAGAACGGGCGGGCAAGGGTGAGAGGGTAGGCCAGGCACCGGGAGGGCACCCTGGCAAGGACTGGGCTACTGAGGGCAGAGGAACTAATGAATGGTAGGCAGGCAGTGGGTTCTAGGGGCAGAAGTGCTAGGTGACTGGAGACGGGGTGGGTTAGGCACACAGGGGGATTGCTGGGAATAGATTAGGGTCCTTGGGGCACACAGGAGCTGGTATTGATGGCCGGGGGTGTTACTGGAAACAGGTGCTGGGTCACAGTGTGGCAGAGGGGGAGGAGGGGTTGGCATGACAGCAGGGATGGGATGAGGTTACTGGGGCTTGAGGTTGGGCTGGTGGGGAGCAGAGGGACATTACTGGGAGATGGGCTGGGTAATTAGGGATAAACTGTTAAAACATGGGAGGCTAGATCTGCACTGTTGACAAGGTAGCCACTGAGCATATGTGGCTGCCGAGTGTTTCAATGTTAGACTGAGGTGTGTTGCAGGCATAAGATGCACATGGCCCGGCCAGTGTGGCTCAGCGGTTGAGTCAACCCATGCACTGAGAGGTTGCTGGTTTGATTTCCGGTCAGGGCACATGCCCAGATTGTGGGCCGAATCCCCAGTGGGGGGCATGCAGGAGGCGGCCAATCAATGTTCTCTCTCACTGATGTTTCTATCTCTTTCTCCCTTTCCCTTCCTCTCTCTCAAAAATCAATAAAGAAAAAAAAATAATAATAAAAAAAAAGAGTGTAGGGCATCCTGGGTTGTTTGGCTCAGCAGCTGGAACATCAGCCTGAGGACCAAAGGGTCTCAGATTCAATTCCTGGTCAAGGGCCATAACTGGGTTGCCAGGTCGTGTGGGAGGCCACCAATTGATGTGTCTCTCGCATCAATATCCCTTTCTCTCTCTCCCTCCCTCTCTCTCTCTCTCTCTCTCCCACCCTCCTTTCCATTGTCTCTAAAAATCAATGGAAATAATATCCTTGGGTGAGGATTAACAACAACAACAAAAAGAAAGAATGTAGGACATCTCATTAATTTATATTGATTATATATTGAAATACATAACTTCAATTAAGTTATAATCATTGAAATATATAACTGAATTTTGATATATTGGGTTATATAAAGAGTACTATGAAAACTAAGTTAACCTATATCTTTTTTCTTTTTTTTTTTTAACCCTCACCCGAGGACATTTTTCAACATTTTGTTGAGATAGAGTGGGAGGAAGAGAGAGAGAGAGAAACATCGATGTGAAAGGGACACATCGAGTGGCTGCCACTCACACAACCCAACCAGGGTCGGGGACAAACTGCAACCGAGGTACATGCCCTTAGCAGGAACCGAACCCAGGTCTCTCCGGACCACAGGCCGATGATCTAACCGCTGAGCCAAACCGGCCAGGGCCCTATATCTTTTTTCAACGGGGCTACTATGACAGTTAACATTATGTTTCTATCGGACAGCATGGGCTAGATTACTGTGGGCAGCAACTAAGTCTGCGGGAAAGATGATCAAGGTCACTGGCACTGCGGCTGGGTTCACTGCAGAGCACAAAGGCTCAGTGAGAGATGGGTGCTGGGTAATAGGGGACATGGTCATTACAGCATAAGAGCTAGACTCTGGGGGACAGAGGCTAAGTTAGCGGGGTGTGGAGGGGCCTGGTGGCATTACTGGGAGCAGAAAGGCTGTGCTACAGGTCTGAGTGACAAGGGGATGCGCTCAAGCTGGGACTAGATGAAGGGGCAAAAGGACAAGCCTCTGTGATTGGGTGTGGGGAAGGGAGGCAGGTTGGGCCCAGCCCCGCACTCACCGCTTCTGCTCCCTAGAAGGAAAAAGAGACAGCATTAGTTGGTGCCACTGCTTCAGGGACACAATCAAGACATCATGTCAGACCCCGAATCTTTGGGACCCCCAGCTCACCTCTCCTCTTCTAGCTTCTTCCGAAAGATGTCCCGCCTCCAGGCGGGCATGCTGGCCAGCCGGGCCTCCTCCTCCTCCTCCTGAAACGCAAGCACAAAGCTTCAGGGCAGCATGGGCCAGGAGGTAGGGGGCCAGAGGGGATGCACCCCAACCCAGGGGACCTGCAGGAGTCGGGGACAATAAGACACAAATAGAGTTGCAGGGAGAGACCCTTCTGATGTCCTTTTATAGGGCAAATGGATGAAGGTACCTAGCCACAACCCCCTTGGAAGAGACTGTCTCCCCTATAACTCAGGCTTGTGTCCTAGAGGTGGTGTCAGAATGGTCAGAGCTGAGTGTAGGAGGTGAGCAGGGAATGAGATTCCCCAAAGAGGTGGGTGAACAGATGGCCGCAGGCCTGTGACCCACAAATTTTGAACAGACCCATCCTTGGGCCCCCACAGACCCGGCCAGCTCTGAGAGGCTCAGGATGGCCATGGGTTCCACCGTGAAGAACCTTCTGGCTCATTCTCAGATGGAGTAGACACCAACTCTACAACTGTGGTGGTGGGGCATCCAACACAGGCAGCTTAGAGCAAAGAGTTTTATTCCTTGCATGTTACAGAGAACACGTCACACGGAACACTGCACACGCGGCTCCCTTGACCTCGAGCGAACTCCAGTAAAAATCCAGAGACAGAAAGAGCCACACAGCCCCAAGGGGGACCCACAGTCCCTCACTCAGAGGGGCCGCTTCTTCCACCTGGCTCCACAAAGAGCCAGGCAAGGCTGCAGGGCCAGAGAGGACACCTGGTTTGCCCTGTGCGGTGCCCAGCCTATCCCGGTCAACTCCCCACATCTGGCCATGATGGGACCTCAAAAGGCCAAGGCAGCCTGGTCCTGGGCATTCTGGGTTTTCTAAGGTCACCATCCAGGGCTCCTCCTGACCGCTTCTGGCCTCCGCAGTGCATCAGACAGGCATCCAGGCAGATATCCAGGCGCAGGTGAAGGTGCTTGAGGGTAAATTCTGAATTCTGCTGCTCAGATGTCAAAAAGCTCCGCCTCCTTCTCCTTCCAAAAGGAGAAGCTGCGGTCGATGTAGCGGCAGATGTCCTCGTTGCTGAACTCGCCCATCTCAGACAACAGCTCCAGGGGGTCTTCAGCCGGGGCTTCGGAACTAGAAGGGTCCAATGTTGGTAGAGGCGCAGCTGGCGGGGGTGGGGATGGGGGCTGCGGTGCAGCTGTCCAGGCCTCGGGCTGCCCGTCTGGCCAGTCCTCCGACTGAACTGGAGCCGCCTCGTGGGCCTGCTCCCTCTCCGCCTCCTCCTCCTCCTCTTCTTCTTTCTCCTCTTCCCGCTCCTTCTCGGCTTCTTCCTCCCAAGTCCGCTTAGCCTCCGGGCTGTCTTCGAAGAACTGGTGCCTGAGATCCTCAAAGCCGTCGCTCCAGCCACGCCGGCCGGCCTCCACCTCCTCCAGCACCACGCGGTGGAAGAGGCGGATGCGCTCCCACGGGTGGCTGCCCAGCCGGTCGAACATCTCGTAGCACAGCAGGTGGCGGAACTTGCGCTCCTCGCGGCTCAGGCCCATCTCAAGCAGCTGGAAGTAGCCGAGCATGAAGAGGTCCAGCGTGAGGCTGTCGTAGCTCGGGGGCGCGCCGCCGTCCAGGGGCGGCAGGAACTGCTCAGGCCAGTACAGGCCGTGCGCCAGGCTCGGACCGCAGGGGGGGCGCGCGGGCACCTGCCGCAGCAGGCTCCGCCAGTGGCCCAGCAGCCTACCCACCACCTGCCGCTGCTTCAGCAGGCGCAGCAGCCGCTGGTCGGGGACGTCGCCCGCCGGCGGCTGGGGGGCGTCGGCGGCGTTGGCGACCTCGGAGGCCTCGGGAGCCGGGCCCGCGCCGGCGGCCACCACGCGGGGGAGCAGTCTGCGCAGGCGCGCCTGGGCTTGGCGCCCGTGGCCGCCGAAGGTCCACTTGCGCCAGTGCTCCAGGAAGAGGTAGACGATGCGCTCCTTGCGCATATCGATGTAGTCCTGGACGCCGCTCAGCTCGGTGGGAAGCGGCGGCCTGCGCGCCAGCTGCTCGGGCTCCGGCAGCGCCGCCTGGCGGCCAGGCGCCTCGGGTAGGTCCAGGTAGCCCAGGGGCTCCGGGGCAGGTGGCAGGCTGTTGGAGGTGGCGGCGCTCAGCCCTCCGGGGCCGGCCGCCACGTAGTCCTCCTCGAGAATGGGTTCTCGGCCGGGCGCTCCAGGGGTCATCGAGGACTTGCGGCGCGGGCTGCGCGGGGGCACGGAGCCCTGGGCGAGCAGTTCGTAGGAGGCGCGGAGGTGCTGCACTGAGACGCCGCACTCGAGGATCTCGCGCGCCACGGCCTCGCGGCACCAGCTGAGCGAGTGCGAGCGGCCCAGGCAGAGCGGGCCTGGCCGCCAGGGCGCGTCGGCCAGCGGCGCCAGAGGCTGGCCCGTGTCCGCGGCCAGCAGCTCGGCCAGGTGCGTGGGCCGGCCGCCCAGTGCGGCCAGCAGCGTGGCCATGCTCTTGAGCAGCGTGGAGATCTTGCTGCACCAGGCGGGCAGGCTAGCGGCGCGGCCGTGCATGCGACGCGGATCGACGGTGAAGCGCGGCGCCGACAGAGCGGCCGAGATGGGAAGCAGCTGCTCCAGCTCCAGCTCCAGCTGCTTCAGGCGCGCCTCCAGCTTCTGCGCCTTGTGCAGCACTTGCAGGTTCTCGATTTGCTGTTCGATGCGGAGGATGTCAGCCTCGGTCATGAGCTCGCCGAAGGGCCCGAGGATGCCGTTGTACTCGCGGGAGTACCTCCAGCCCTCGCGGGGGTAGCAGCACGAGCTGGCGGATGTCAGCTAAGGCGGGGAAGACAAGAGAGGGGAGGGAGGCGGGTCTCCCTCTGGCCCGGCTCCCGCGGCGGCCGCCGAGGGGGGGCGCCCTTTGCATGTCCCGGGTGGTGTAATGGCTCCGCGGGGCTGAGTTTGCAGGGACGAGCCGCGCCTGGCCGGCGGGCGATTACGCTGGAGCGAAGCTTGGCCCAGGCCGCCGCTCCGGGCGCTGGGGAAGTGTCCACTTTGGTCGCTGGCAGGGATACAGCCGGTCGTTGGGCGCTGATGCAGAGGCAGGGCGGGCAGACGGGGCTCCATGCCTGGCTTGGTTGCTCATTACACCACCGAAGAACATGCAAAAAGCATTGAAGCTGCGGCGCAGGCGGCCCTCCCACCTCATCCAAGCTCTGCGGATTTGAGGCCAGATCCCAGAGAGGCCTCTCCTGGCCCCAGACTGATGACCCCTTCCCGAGCTCTGCTGTGGCCCAAGTCCTCTCTGCCCACGATGTCAGTGTTTTAGTCCTGAATGACAGGCTCTTAAAAGAGGCTGAAGCTTCCACTCTTAATCCTAGCCCCTCCATCCCTTTAATAATAATAGAATTGATAGAGCTGGGCATGCCATTACTCTTCACCTTTCTTCTCCTCTAGGCTGCAACTTTAGTGCCGGGCTTTTCCAGCCTGGGGACTGGAGGGGGTAGGGCTGCCCTCACCTCCTCACAGCCCTCCCAAGTCATCCTGACCACCACAGTCCCCACATACAAATCGGATGGTGCCACTTCCCAGCTTAACCGCCCTCCCAGGCTACTCACTGCTCCAGGAGAAAGTCCATTTTCTTTAAGACCAGGCTTTGGTGATCTGACCCCTCCCCAGCTCTACCCCTTTCCTTCCATGGTAGTCCCTGAGCCATGCCCACTGGCTCCCAGACCTCTCCTCTCCTGCTGCTTGCTCTTTGCCCCACCCTTCCCATCCACCTCTTTCACGTCTCCAAGTCTACCTTAGAGCTCACTTTCTCTCTCCCTAACACCACGCCCAGCCCAAACAGGTAGTGGGTTTAGGGCTGCCCCGGTCCTATGCATGCACCATCTCTGCACTGCCCGTACTGTAACAGTCCAGTTGTTTGGGGGCACTTATCACTCTACCAAGGTGAGGTGTTTGCTTGTTGGCTGACCCCCTGCCCCACCCCTGCAACACCCTCAAGAGCAGACTCTAATATAGTCCACGTATCCCAAGAGGCTACGACAGTGTGTAGCACATAGACGGCGCCCAAGGAACATGTGTTGAATGGATCAATGGCAAACCTTCCGGCCAGCCCATCTGACAGATGAGGAAGCTGAAGATGGATGAGGCTCCATATCAACAGCTGGAAAGTGGCAATGCAGGGAAAGAGCTCAGGCCAGTCTGACTGTGACCAAAAACCTATTGGCTACTCGGAGTGTGGTCACTGGACGAGCATCGTCAGCCTCAACCTGAGGCTTGTTGCCAAATCTCAGCCCCACCAGAGCTCCTGAATCAGAAGAGGCATTTTTACAAAATCCCAGGCTGCTGGGGTGTGGTGGTGGAGACTGAGAGGAGTCCCTGGAAAGGGAGGTCGTCCAACCTTACTTTTCCCCAAAGGGAATGGGAGTTGCCAGAAGTTGAAGGGCCCTGGTAGGTTGGGGTGATGGGGGTGGGGAGCGGGGCTGTCCGCCCAGGAACAGACCCCAGGGCCCTCTAGGAAGCCCCACCCAGCCCACCTTCCGCCTCTGCTCCTCCTCCTCCTGCATCTTCAGCTGCATCTTGCGGACCATCACCTGGCGCTTCCACTCCGGGATGGGCCGGCCCTGCTCGTCGTGCGTGGGGATGAGCGCTTCCACGTCCAGCTGCACGCCCGGCGCGGGGGTGGCGGGCGGCGCCGGCGCCAAGCTGCCATTGAGCAGTGGCTGGGGTCCTGCCGCCGGCGGGGTGGGGCTCCGGGCCCGGGAAGGTGCCGGCGACGCTGGCGGCAGCGGCGAGTCCGGCTACGGGGAGAAGCAGCAGGCTGAGCGCCGGCAGGGGAGCGGGGAGCCGGGGCGGGGGCGCCTTTCGCACCGCCTACCTGGGAGGCCGGCTGCCCGCTGCCGGAGAACACCGTGGTCAGACCCTTGCTCTGAGGCGTGGGCTTCAGACTCTTGCCAGCCTTGATCTCAGCCAGCAGCTCCGAGTTGTCACCGGTGGGGGCCATCATGTTGAAAGACTTGGTGCCTGGGTGGAGGCAGAAGAGCAGGCGCTAGCAAGGGGGAGGAGGCGACCCGCCGGCCCCCACCTGCCCTCTGCTGCCCTTCGGGTCAGAACCTGCTCGGAGGCTTCCCTTGGGCCCAGAGGGCAGCAATCCAGATCCCAAGTCTGGCGGGCGCCTCGGCTCTTGGGGACCCGAGTCGGGTCCTTTGCTGGAAGTCTGGCAACCCCACCATTCTCCCAGCCCTACTCACGGGGAGTGGGGCCCCCACCTGGAGGCCCCTGGGAATTCATGATGGCGCTTAGGCCGGCTCTGGGGACTCCAGTGAATGTCTACGCCCAGCACATTGACTGCCCAGCTCCAAAACACCACCTGGGACCAGCCCCCCGACCTTTGTCCTGGGTCCCCAGGTTCGGTTGGTCAGGGTGGAGTCTGTCTCTGGCTCTGTCTGCATCAGCAAAGCCCAGTGACCCTTGGACTATGAGAGGCCTGAGCCTCTGGCTATACGGACTAGGAACCCTGGATACCTCAGCCCGGCCAGTCTCCCCTAACCCCCCCAAACCCACAGACAGACACGCGTGCAGACATACTGGTTGCAAGCCCGAGCACACTTATGGCAAAGCGCTTCTCAGCTCTGGGGGACCCAGGAAAGTGGAGCCCTTACTAAGGATGCGGAGTGGGGGCACCCCGGAAGGAGGGGGACCAGGTGGGTAACATGCAAATCTCCAGAGGGGAGTTTGCATTTTTCAACCAGGCTTGCAGAAGTGACTGGAGTTTAGGGAGGGTTGTCTTTAGAGCCTAAGGATGGGGTCAGGGCTGAGTGAGGGGGACAGGCCATCAGCTCCTGGGTTCCCTAGGCTGCGGACCCCAGAGCACGGTATCGGGAAGAGGAAGAGGGCAGCACATCAGCCAGGCCGAGGTCATGCATGTGGGCGTGGTGGGCACGAGTGCAGGTGTGGGGCAGAGGTCCGGACTGTGGCATCCAGGACCCCTCAGCAGCCACGGGCCCGGCCCTGCCCTTTCCTCAATCCCTTGACCCTTTGGCCTTGCTTCTCCTGCGCGTGCCTTGGCCCCACCCTGCGCCTCAGCCAGGAGCAGCGCACGCAGCTACTCACTCTTCCTGTGCCTCAGGACTCTCACTTCTAGGGACCAAAAGGAGAGAAGTGACCGTGAAGTTAGAAGAGGGCGGGGGCTGGGGTGAGGCTAGGAGAGCAGGGACAGTGAGACAGGGCCTGGCAGGACAGGACAGGACGGGGAGGGAGGTGTGCAGAGGAGCGGGAAGGGGAGGGGAACTTTCCAGCCCGTCTGACCCTGGATCAGGCTGCTCTGGGGTTCCGTAGGGTGGCCTGCTCCGCTCCCAGCTTTGCAGGCGCCCTGGTCCCCCTAGCACGGGCCTCAGTCTTGGCATTGGGCTGGGATGGGGCATCCAGCCCAGGCTCTGCTGAGAAGGGGTGTCTGGAGACGCCCAGAGTCTATTTGTTCTTCTATTCCTAGCTCCATGCTGCAGAGGGAAGAAGTTGACTCTGGAGCTGTGGGCTTTTCTGAAGGCTCAGTTGGTGACAGACACAGACCTGCTGCTATGGGCTCTAGTCTGCAGGGGCTGGGGCTCCCTAGGAACCCCAGGGAGTACAAGCTAACCCTACCCTGTACCCTACTGTGCCCTTGCACTCCTGTCAGAGGGGTGAAGCTTTGGGTGGCCCCTGAGCTGAGTGGCTGGGTGAGGAAGGCGCCTCTGCCAGGCTGGGATGAGACTACCTCCCTGGCCTTCCAGAAGCCCTGGCATGCAAGAGGCTGCCCCACGTTGCAGAAGAGACACCCAGGCATCCTGGTCGCCAGTCCAGCTCTTTAAAAAGGATGCCCAGGAAAGTCACCAGGAGGGACAGGCCTGAGGATTACTGGTGTCCCCAGAGCGAGGCCTCAGCTGGCCTGGGGGCCTGGAGGAGTCCCTGACACATCATCTGAGAAGGGCTCGGGGCTTGTAGCTAGCTTGGAAGGACCAGAGGAGTCCAGGGAGACTCAGGATGGATGTGGGGCAGGGAGGAGGCTGGCCAGCAGCCTGCCTCCTCCAAGCTAGTTCTGCTTCTCCGCTTCCCTCTAGCACCTGTTCATCAGGGACAGCCACCACCAGCCCTGGGAGGCCTTTCCCACCGGAGGGGAGGCAGGCCCGGGAGAGAAGGGGACTTGCCGCAGGTCACAGAGCCCAGTCCTGCGGCGGCAGAGCCTTCCCCTGGCGTCCAGTCCTCACGGAGAGGGGCGGTCGGAGAAACAGTGGGGAAGGGAGCACTGGGTCAGTGAAGCTGGGGAGGGACACTGTCTAGGTTTCCTGCCCACTTCGGGCTAGCGCCGCCCCCCACCACTCAATCCCCCTACTCACTGCCGGTGGAAGAGGAGGACCGACGCTGCCCGCAGCCAGGGCCGGCGCCCTCCAAGGGCAGAGGCGGAGCGGGCGGCGGCGAACTCAGGCCCTCGGGCAGGGGCGGCGGAGGCGGTGGCGGTGGCGGCAGCTCCCTGGACGCCTTGGGGTCCGCTGCGCAGCCGTTTTGCACGTGATTCCCGGGGAGCAGCGCCGCCTGCGGGGGAGCGGAGGGGCCAGCGAGTGAGAAGCGGGCCGCCCGGCCGGGTCCAAGGCGGCCGGCGGGTCCGGGCTGGCGGGCACGCACCTCCTCGCTGTGCGCCATGCCCGGGGGTGCGGCCAGCGGCTCCCGGGGACAGCGGCCCAGCTGGCGGTAGTAGTCCCCCGTGCTGGGCTGCTTGCTGAAGGCGCGGGGCTTGCGGCCGGAGTCCTGCCTCCGCAGCCCGCTGAGGCCGTCGCGGGAGCTCAGCTGCGGGAAGAGAGCGGGTGTGGGCTTCAGGCCCTTGTCCCGTGTACCTCCCACGCCGCCCCTCCCACAGCTCTTCACCTTCCCGGGGCTCACGGCCAGCGGCTGTCGAAGGGTGCAGCCAGCCGTGTTCCTAGACCTTCCTGTTCTCAGAGCGGGGACGGGGCGAGGGTCATGGGGGCCTTGGTGGACGGGCAGGCTTGGTTGGCCCTACAGGGAGGGGTTCTGGGCACCGGCCAAGGGGCGCAGAGGCCCCACCGAGGCTAGAAGGGGCGGGCCTAGGGGCGGGGTGGCCCAGCCCAGACGCCAGGGGGGGGCCGGAGAAGGAGCAGCTCCCCGCTTAGCGAGCGCTAAATCCTCAGCCGCACCGCCGTCCCGGCTGCCACACCGTCCCACCCGGCCCAAGTCTCTGCCGAACCCTCTCGCGGGGATCCCGGCCCCGAGGGAGCCCTTTCTCGAGCCCGTGTCCAGTGAGGCTCCTGCTTGCTTAGGGCCCTCAGCTGCCCAGCCCGGGGCTGCGACTGCTCCTACCTGCGTCTGTGCCGCTGGCCCCCGCTGTGCACCTGGCGGCGGGGGCGGCAGGACCCGACACCTGCGCTACCTGATCCTTCCTCTCAGGTTACAGCCCAGCCCGTGTCCGCCTGCGCCTCGGAGCGCCTAGGAGCTCGGTCGGCCTGACATCACCCAGGCCCTCCAATCCTGGGCGGTGGGGCATGCTACGGGGGCGCCCCGGCTCCTCCACACCTGGCTGCTGCACCACGCCTGCCCCGCCGGCCAGATGTGGCCCCGCCCCTGCGCCTCTCTCCCTCCGCTAGGTGCTGCTGAGCAGCGGGGCCTTCCTCCCTCCGCTCCATTCCTCCATCCTCCCAGACAGAACACGCCGGCCCCACCGCGGGCCGTGAACCCCCTTCCCCATGTGGCCCCCCTGGGTTCCGGGTCACGCCCCCGCCCTTCCCTTGCCGCATCTGGAAACCATCGCCATCCGCGTAAGCGACACCGACACTCTCGCCCAAGCCTCGGGTTTCAGGGGCGGTAAGGCAGCTCGGGTGACAGCTAAATGCCCGCCCCATTGCAGCTGCCCCCCGCTAAGCCCGGCTCAGAGAGGACCGGAGGCAGTGGGGCCAAAGGCCGAGTCAACGGGCGGGGGCTGTCCCCTGCCCCACCTCCCAGCCTGGTCGTCCCTGCCGTGGCCCCGACCCTCCACGCCCCACCTGACCCGGCTCACGTTGCAGGAAACGGGATACCGCAGGATTTGTTTTCTGGGCCAGCCCGCCCCCTCGCGCCCCCTGCAGCCCCGAGGCGCAGGCACCGACCGCGACCCTGCTCTCGCGGCGGCCAGGCAACCAGGCCAGGGGCCGGGGGCGCTGCCGGCACACAAAGGGCCCTTTGTGGAGCTGCCTGGAGCCTGAGGCCTGGCACGCACACACCACGGACGGGAACAGGGACCCGAAGTCCTGGCGCTCTGACTCAGGGGACGGGAGGGAGCATAGGCCAGCCACCTGGCTTGTGGCTTTGGGCAGGGCCCACAGCCTGGTCGGGAAAGTCCTCAGCCCCACCTTCTGGAGATGAAAGGGGAACCAGGCTGAGCGCTTGGTCTGAGGTGGCATGAAAGCAGGCGGGTGGAGTCACTGGGCAGGCTGTGTCCCTCCACTCATCCACCCAGGGGCTTTGTGACCTGGGTCACCTGTGTGAAGTGGTTTCTTAGCTTGGCCCTGGGGTGGCTTGCCTTGGGCTTGAGAGAGAACTACAAGGTCAGGGCTCGCACAGGACCCCCAGGGGCCTCCACCCCACACTCAACCACCTGAGGGCTCAGACTGCACCCTCCACCTCTCAGAACAACTTTGCTCTGTCCCCTTGGTCACTACCCCAGGGCCCCCTCTGGGCCTCCCTGCCCAGGACTCTAAGAGCTGTGCAGACCAGCCCTCTGTCCCCCAGCCCCACTCCAGGGCCTCAGTGGGGATCCCAGAGGCCCTGCCGCTCAATGCGCCCACACTGGACTCCTCCCCTTCTCCCCCAGGAGTCTCATGTCAGGCCTGGACCTCAAGCCCCAAACTGGAGTCAGCCTCCGCTTGACCCCCGCCTCAGCCCTGACCGAGAGCCAAGTCCTGCTACTGCTCTGTCCTTGCCTCCCCTCCTCCTGCCTTCCCCTGCACAGCCCCACCTCTCGCTCGTCCTGAAGGGCACCCACCTGGGGAGCCATTCTCTGCCTGAGCCGCAGGCATGTGTAGGTCTGTGGAGAGGCAGTTTGCACATATTCTCTCCAACCTCATGACTATCCTGCCAGTCTGTGCAAGGCGCGGCAAGGAGCCAGCCCCTCGAGAGGTTCAACTATCTAGGTATATGTTCCTAACCCCTTCTCTGCCCCCCGGACCCCCAGAAGGCAGTGGCTTTGTTTTACCCATCTCCCTGTCTCCAGTGCCCAGCCCTGAGCCCTCACGGGTCTGGCCAGGAATGTGGGCTCTTGAAGAGGCCATCGGCCCAGGGACCCCCGCCCTGTGCCCATGAGCCGGGCAGTCCTTGGCCTCCACTGCCCCCCATCAGCCCAGGTCTGGTGCTGGGAGGCAGGCAGGTGGGTGAAAGCTCACTACCTCCTTCCTGCGGGCCAGGGTCTCCACATGGCGGAGTTTGCTCTTGGTCTGCATGTAGATGTCAGCTGCTTGCAGCCCTGCGGGGGGCTTGGGAGCTGGGTAGCCCGGTGGGGGAGGGGGCAGCTGGGTGTCTGGAGGTGGGGGTGGTGGAGGGAAGCTGGGTGGTGGCGGTGGTGGTGTGTTTTTCTCCATCTTGTCCCGGGCCCGGTTCACCTCCGGGCTCAGCATGTCCATGTAGCTCTGTATGTCTGCAGCTCTGGTTCTGGGAGGCCCTGGGGAGGAAGGGGTGGCTGGGTTTGCCAGGTTGCAGGGAGGCTGTCCCCCACAGCTGAGACCCTCCACTGCTCATGAACAACTTGCCAAGGGGTGAGGCAGACTCAGGGGTGCGGCCCAGAATGGCCCCACCCTCAGCCTGGCCCTGCAGCTCTTGGGGAGAGACCATAGGCTCCAGTTTGGAGCGGAGGCACCAGGCGGCTTGGGGCTCCAGGGTGTGCCTGCAGAGCAGAGCCACCCCGGAGGGCGGAGGGGCCGCTTTACATGGCAGATCTGGCAGGGCAGGTGGCAGGAATTTGGATGGCTACACCCTGTCTTTGCAGGGTGCCCTGCCATCTCCGCAGGCCACCACCTGGTGGCATGAAGCAGGTACCACAAGTGGACAGATACCCATGCTAAGGGCATGCTCAGTGTGTGTGCACCCATGTCTGGCTTCTGCTTGAGCATTAGTGCATTTTGTATGTTTGTGAGTACACAGGCTTCTCTGTATTTATGAATGTGAGTGTATTAGTCTGTGGATATGGGTGTGTGTGTGTGAGCACAGCCAGGACATACAGTGGAGAGTTGTGTGCCTGGGTGTAGTGTAGACATGTGCATATATCTGCACAGCTCTGTATGTGTGATTGTGCATTTGTATCTGCATATTGTGTGTACACATGTATGAGTGTGCACTCTTGAGTATGTAAGATCTGGGGAACACTTTGCACATGTGTAAGTAAGGATGCTGTATCATGTGTGGGTGCATGTGGTTTTGTCAGGGGGAGAGTATGTGTGGATATACATGTATGTTGTGACGGGGACACACAAGCATGAGTGTTACCTATTCCCACCAGAACAGCACCCTCTCCTGGTGACCTGCAGAGCCTCCAGCATTAGCAGTGGTCTGGCTCCGGTCTGCTGTCCCTCCTCCCTCTTCCCATCTGGCCCACTCACCGCGTGGGGGACGCTGGCCCTTGACACTGGACTGGTTGGAGGAGCAGGAGTCGTAGTTGGAGAGGGTGCTGGTGGGCGAGCTGAGGTCGAAGTTCAGTGGCTGGACTGACATGGTGGTGTTGGGCGAGGACATGCCCGAGTCAGGCTGCTTGGTCTCCAGCTCGGCAGATGGATCCCGGGACAGCACGCGGTGCTCCAAGCTCTGAGCAGGAGGGGGGCCGTGAGGACAACTAGCCCCAAAGATCAGCACACTCTGGGCCAGAGTCCTGCTCAGGCATGCCCTTGCTGTGTGACCTCTGCTAAGCCACTGCCCTTTCTGGGCTCTCGTCCCCTCACAGGTGGGTCTTACAGGCTAAGATTCCAGCCCAGCCCCCTAGGCAGCAGGACCGTGGGTTTCTGAGAAACTCCTGCTCCTGGTCCCTCCCTGCTCAGAAGGGTTGAGAGACCAATGGAAGAGGGGGCTCCGGGCTAGACCCCAAGGGGAGAACCACCTGGCAGCAGCCTTCTTCATCAATGGGCAGAGGCCCTGGGCCCCAGTGTCTTTGAGGAGGGGCTTGGGCTCTGCAGCTGGTGAGAACGCTGCAGCAGCTGGGGCAGGGGAGGGGTGCAGGCCCCCCAGCCTGCAGGAAGGACCGGTCCCCCATTACCTAGCCAGCGAACTCTGTCCCTCCTGATCTGCTGAGGCGAATCCCAGCACCAGCCCAGTCCCTGCATCCTGACAGGGCCCTTGGGGAGAGTGGGGCCTGGGGTGGCCCAGCTGAACTGAGGCTTCCAAGCCAGCCATCCCCACCACTGTCGGTGCCCCAGCCCAGGGCCCGACCCTCCTGGCATGGGGTGGGCTGGGGTGGGGGCCCTGCTTACGTTGCCCATACTGGCTCTGCTGCCGGCAGCCTGCGCGCTGCCCAAGCCTGCCCCTCCCCGCCTGAGAAGTGTCACAGGCCCCCCGGGAGTGGGCGGCAGGCCCGGCACCAGGTAACAGCTCATTGGCCTGTAATTAGGGGCTCTGCGGGACTCTTTGCCTTTTCTGGGCCAGCATCCTCTGTGGCTGCGATCTGTCACTGTCGCCACCAGGCTTACCCGAGTGAGGGGGCCAGGGCCCCCGCACCCCACACACTTCACGGGGACAGCCTTGCTGCCTGCCCCAGGACCAAGGGGAACCACAGGAGCTGGGATCCAGGGACGGGCAGCTGAAGACGCTCTTTCTTGGCCTATAGCAGTGGGCACCGGGGTGCCAGGCCTGCCCCCTCGGATACCAGAGGTTAGGGACACGGGCTCTGCCTGGGATGCTGACTTCAAATTTTACCTCCTCTTCTCACTAGCTACCTGACCTTGCGCAAGTACCTTCTCTTGTCTGCAGCTGAGTTCCTTCCTTTGTAAATGGGATTCCAGTACCGCCTGCCCCGTTAGGTGGTAACAGTGGTTTTGAAAGTTAGTGAAGTACCGGGGCCTGATGGCCAGCAAAGGCTGCACTTATCAACTCTTAGTATTCATTCGCTGTGAAGACTGGCTGAGACCACATCATACAGCAGGAGGCAGGGCACCTGCCGGGGCAGATTTCAAGGGTAGGTGCTTGTTGCTTATGGTCCCAGCTGCTGTCAGGAGGGGGTGTGGGGCTCTGCCCCCCTGCCCCCTGAGACAGAATCGCATACTCTCAGCTGGCAGGGGTTCACCTCTGGTGCAGAAAGGCCCTTCGCAGTGTTTATCGCTGCTTGTATGCCCTGGTGACGGGGAGCTCACTGTATGCTGACCCAGCTCTCCCTCCGGGTGGCCCTTTCTGGAGAGAATTCCTCCTCAGGTGCAGTTCACTCTCTGCCCCTGGAGCCCTGCTGTGCTCTGGAGTCCCCAGAACCAGGGTGCCCCCATGTGCTCACAGGACAGACAGCGCCCCAGGCAAGGGACCACCCCCCTTCTCTCCTCCAGGCCTCATTTTGCAGCTCCTTTCGTGGCCCGGCTGCCCCTCGGAGTTGGTCAGTGTCCTTCTGATGGCAGCTGTGAGGCCTACCCCTTTCCTCCCTCTTGTCCCTCTCGTCTCAGCTGACGCAGAGCCCTGGACCTGAAGCCATCCACACTCAAGTCCCAGTGGGTGACTTCACGACTGTGTAACCATAAGAAAGTCATTTAAAAAGAGTAACACAGGTTTCTAGCTCCAAAAAGTGAACATGTAGTTTAGTGGTCAAGAGAGGTGGCCCTAGGCCAGGCCACTGGGCTCCAGCATTTACCAGCTGTGTGGCCTTGGATCTCCCTGAGACTCGGTTTACCCAGAAATGGGGACACTAACACTACCTTCCTCAGAGGGTGGTGAGGGCTATACCTGTGGGCTGTGGCCAGCTGGATCAACGGAACTGTCCCCACTGGTACGTCTTGTGCTTGTCCCCCCTTCTTCTCAGGATGACCCTGGTCCTCCTTCTCCTGACCTTTTTGTCCCCACCCTGAGTCCTCAATGGTCAGTGGTCTGGGTTGAAAAGGCATGTGGGGTAATGGCCTAGGGCCCTTCTTCTTCACACCCCTGCACCTCAGCTTCTTCGGTGGCAACAGCGGTAACAAAACCTACCTCTAGAGGACCTGAGGGTGGGGCTAGGGATGAGGTAACGGGGAGCAGTGCCCAGGCCGTACCAGGTTCTCCACTGTGCGCAGGTAGCGGGTGCAGTGGCTGTGGCCATTGTAGTCTGAGAGGTCCGCGGGCGTGTATCCATCGCGGTCGCGGACGTCCAGCTCCGCGCCGTTCACTACCAGGATCTGGCAGCACTGCAGGGGCACGCAGGGGGGTCCCCGCTGCTAGCCCGGACCCCAGTGCCGGGCGGGCTGTGCTGAGAGCGCGCGGCCCGCAGAGGGCTCCGGTCCTCCCGTCCTCCCGCCTAAGGCCCCGCCCCCGGCCCCTCCCCGCCCCCGGCCCCGCCCACCTCCAGCTCGCCGTTCTCCGCGGCGTCGTGCAGCGGGGTCCCGCCCCACAGGTCGGCCGAGATCTCGCCGCCGTGCAGCAGGAGCCAGCTGAGCACTTTGGCGTGGCCGCGGCTCGCGGCAAAGTGCATGGCCGTGGCGCCGTCCTTGTCCTTCTCCGACAGGCTCACGTCGGTGAAGCTCACCTGGGCGGGAGGGGGCGGGGAAAGAGGGGCGGGCTGGGCGCCAGGCCCCTCCTGGCCCCGCCCCCGCCCTGTGCAGGCCCCGCCCCTCCCGGCCTCCGCCCCGCCCCCGAGCTCACCAGCCACACGATGATCGGGCTGTGGCCCATCTGTGCCGCAGCGTGCAGCGGGGTCATGCCGTCGTGGGCGCTCGTGTGCGGGTCCGCGCCGCACTCCTGCACCAGGTACTGCATCACCTCCAGGTGGCCCTCCTGGCACGCCAGGTACAGGGGCGTGGCACCGTTGTTGGTTTGGGCCTTCACTCCCCTGCAAACAGGAAGCACCCACAGAGACTCTCATCACCTGCCCCGCCAAAGCCTTCTTTGGACCCTCGTTACCTTGCGGGGAGCCCTGGAGGACTGGCAGGGTGGGTGGCAGAGGGCCTAGTCACTAGGCCCCACTGTTCCTGACTCCCGCTGGACTCAGGCCTGTGCCAGCCTCCCTCAGGGAGCCCCTCTGGCTTGTCCCCCCACCCCCAGCAGCTTCCTTCCTATAATGCTCCTCTGACTGAGCTCCTCCCTGCCCTCAGTAAACAGCTCACCTTTTCACCAGGGTCTACAGGACATGGCGACTTGGCCGCTCCCTACCTTTTCAGCCACACTGACCCACCGTCACTGTACGTCCCCATACCTGCTGTCTGCTCTCTCTACCTTTGACCATGTCCCCATCCTGTCCAGAATGCCCTTCCCTCCTCCTCGCTCTTTAAGACTCGGTACAAAACCCTCCTCTGAGAGGCCTGCCCTGATTTTCCCAGGCAGGGCAGACCTTTCTTACCTCTGTGCCCCATACTGCCCTGGGCCCACTCCATGGACCACCTGTCATGCCTGGTTGAACGTAACTGATTTTGGCCCCTGCCTCCCCCAGAAGGTTGAGTTCTCAGAGGACAGAGTGGTAGGGTTCCCAGATAAACACAGAATGCCCAGTTAAATCTGAATATCAGATAAGCAACAGATCATTTCTAAAATAGAAGTATATTCCAAATAGTGTATAAGGTATGCTTAGACTAAAACCTGATTTGTTGTTCGTCTGAAGTGTAAATTCACCTGGATGGCCTGGTTGTTAATCTGGCAACCCTATCGGTGGCCACCATCCACTGAGCGCTTCCTGCGCTCTGCTATAGCAGGGGCAGGTTCTCCTTGAACGCCCTAACTCGGGTCCTACTGTCGTTCCCATCTGCAGAGGGGCAGTTGGGACTCAGAGGCTGTGACATGCCCAAGATCACACAGCTGGCTAGTGGCATGTGAGTGCACATACTGCAGCACCAGGTGCACGGCAGGCACACAGAGAACGGAGAGATGGAATGCACTTGGGGCTTGCCTGGGGCCTGGCTGGCACCTGTCACTGCCCCTCATCCCTGTCCCCCAGCTCCCACAGAAGAGTCCTAACTGGGGAACGGAACTAGCCCCATGAAGTGGAGTGTTGCTGGGGAACAGGGAAGCTGGAGGGGGGGGGGGTACTGTGTTTTTCTGAGTGGGTACTGGCCACCCAAGGTGCAGTTACCAGAGTTGGGCACTAGGTGGAGCCACAATCTAGGCCCAGAACCTGGAGCTGCTCACCAATCGCCCCGCTGGTTCTAACCTGGGCTGCATGAGCTTCTGCTCCCCAGGAAGTGCGATTCTTCCTTCAACTTCACTCATCTCTCCGCTGCGTCAATCACATGCTCCACCCCCTCCATCCACGCCCTTCCTCCCTCCCTCCTCCAGTGCCAGACGCCGTGCATCAACACAGGCACCAAGCTGCCCTCCTCTTCCATCTGCTACTCACCCTCTTGTCAGCCCCAACATGACTTGGCCCCTTCCTCTCACTCCCCCACCAACCTCCCAGCTGACTTCTCCCTGTCCCTAAGACCTTGGCCTCTGTCCACTTCCCTGACCCCTGACCCCAGGCCTCTTACGGTGCACCCAGTTCCTGCTCTCTCCTTCCTCCTGGTGTGCGCTGCCCCTCCCTAGACACAGGCTGCCATTGGCTGGGGCTGGTGCTGAGCCCGGTGCTTCACACACGGGGAGGAGTAGGGACCCGGGCTGGCTGCCCTCCGTTACCCCACCAGTGTCAGGGTAGAGTGGTGCCCACCAGGTGCTGCTGACAACGGCACGCACAGCAGACAGGGACCCATGCCTCTCCTCGGGAACACGTTGGCTCCAGGCCACTGGCCTCCACGCCCCAGTGCCAGCGTTGCCCCCACACACCCATTCACATGCTGGTGCGTCAGTAACAGCCGTTTAATATTTCATGACCGACACTCAGTGGCCTGAATTATTCACCCCGTAACCAAGGCACAGAGAGTGCTGGGGTCCTGGGATCGAAGGCTGGAGGGGGCCACCACCCAGGGCCCACTGGACTCTTTCTGGGGCCACATGCACAGCTGGGGGCACCAGAGCTGCCAGGGCCCTGCCCTCCTAGCAACCCCTGCGTGGCAGGTACCCGTGACCCAGGGGTGCCAGGCAGCCTGAGAAGGTCTGAGAAGCTGGCACAGAGCAGGACCCAGGCAGGAGGGGTGGTCGTGCCCATAGCATCCTGCCTGGCCACTGGCTGGCACTCTCGGCTGGTACAGAGTAAGTGCCCAGTAAATGCTTGAGCTCATCACCATCACTATTGGTATTTCAGCCTCTGTACTCATGATCCCCTTTCTGGGGTCACAGCTCCAGCCTGGGAGACCCTGGGACACAGGGTAGACACGCTGCTGGGCCCGGGTGGAAAAGGGGGGTCCTCGCCTTGTTACCATCTTCTGCCTCAACACGGAGGCCAGAAGGACGGGTGCCCCCGTGTTAGAAAACTGGATGAGCGTACAAAAGCACGCGAATGGGTTCAGATGGCAGAGGACTTGGTAGCAGCGGCAGTGACAACTCCGTTCCCAGCTCTGTGATGAGCACTGTTATAACCCAGTAATTCTCCATCCGCTAGAAGAAGGAACCTTTCCTGGGTTCCTTGAACCCGAGTTGTTTTTGCAAAAATTCTTGAAGAGGAAGGTATGCATCAGCCATGACCATGAGCTTAACTAATCAGGAGATGCCAGACGGGACAATGAGGCATTCAAGACTGGGGTCTAATAAATGTTAAGAAATATAAAATAAACAACGAGTACAGCTACTAACTGCTGATATCTGCTTCTGTACACGTAGCTTGCTTGCTCTGCTAAACTCTTGAGTAACCCCTGCCCTATGTAAGCAACCCTCCCCCTGAGCTCGGGGCTGCAGTTCTCCTCTGTGTAGGTTGGCTGCAGTCCCTGCGCAGGTAATAAAGCTCCTAATATTCAAAATTACTTGGTGTCTGAGTGAGGATGACTCTCCTGGGTTACAACAACACGATGCACATTCGCTCATCTTGTCCTTGTAAAATGACCTCATGAAGTAGGCGTTAGCATTGTCCCCCTCTTCCAGATGGGGAAACTGAGGATAAGGTCTCTCAGTGAGAGGGAGGCAGAGAAGGACCGGGGTGTAAGAAGGACCTGGCAGGCCCCTCCACGCTGCGCCAAGATCTGGCCTCTTGTGCACTTGGCTTTTCAAAGCCACCGTGAAGTGGAGGCGGTGTTCAACCATGAGATGTACTCAGAGAGCCCTCAGCACGTGCTGGTACCATGGGTATTTTAGGGTCCCTTCTCCCCGTGCCTCTGTGGGGGGCACTGTTAGCCTGGGGTGTCCGGGCTTCACCAAGCAGGAGTCACTGCCTAGAGGAAGGGGCGGGGTCCCAGGGGACCTCTGGACCCCACCCTGATCCAGCCACAGTGACACCTAGAGGGAAGCACTCTGCTCCCAGCCCCTGCCCTTTGCCCTGGCCTCCGCTCACCCGACTGCAGCTCACTGCACAGGGCCCCGTGAGTTCTTTACCCTCCCGAGCTCAGTGCCCGCACAGGGCAAATGGGCGCGATGATCATTTGGCCTCTGTGCCTCTTGTGAGAAAGCTTTGCAAAGGTGTGTCCCACGGGAAGGCAGCAGGTCACAGGCTGACCTGCCATCTGTCCCCTCACCCATCCCCTGGGCCGAGCTACAGGCCCTGGAGGTGCTCCCGTCCTCCGCTGACTGGCCACGCCCTGACCGGTGCCCCTCCCCCTCCCCCGCACCTGCTCCTCCTGGCTTCCTGAACCAGGTGCACCGGCCTTTGCCGGGCCTCCACCTTCGCCTGGCTGACCTCCAAATGGGGTGCCCAGGGCCTCCTTTTTTAAAAAAAATTTGTTTTCTTTACTGATTTTAGAGAGAGAGGGAAGGCAAGGGAGAGAGAGATAGAAACATCGATGAGAGAGAACATCGATTGTTGGCCTCCACTGGGGATTGGACTCACAACCTGGGTATGTGCCCTGACCAGGGATCGAACCCGTGACCTCTTGGTGCAGGGGTCGATGCTCAATCATTGAGCCACACTGGCCGGGCACCCAGGGCCTCCTTTCTTTCGTTTTTTTTTTTTTATCCTCACCCGAGGACATTTTTCTATTTTTTGTTCAGATAGAGTGGGAGGGAGAGAGAGAGAGGAAGAGAGAGAGAGAAACATTGATGTGAAAGGGACACATCGAGTGGCTGCCACCGGCACAACCAACCAGGGCCAGGGACAAACTACAACCGAGGTACGTGCCCTTAGCGGGAACCGAACCGGTGTCTCTCTGGACCGCAGGCCGACGCTCTAACCGCTGAGCCAAACTGGCTAGGGCTAGGGCCTCCTTTCTAGGTGCACTCTCCCCCTGGTGAGATCATCTACTTCCTGGGCTCAAGGGCCACCTGGACCCGATGCCTGTATCTGTCCAGCTTGGACCTGGAGTCTGCACCCTCCACCCTCCCCCTACCTGTGCCCACTCATCGGCCTGTGCATTGATCGGGCCTCTTGAACTTTACATGCCTCGAGCCGGACAAAACTGGGATTCCGGACCCCAGCCAGGGGGACAGACCGTGGAGGCACACAGTGTAATGCCCGGTAATGAGGTCCGGGGAAAACGAGGCAGGAAGACGGGAGCGAGTGTGCATTGGGGGCGTGTCAGAGGTTGAAGGAGCTCAGGGCAGGCCGCACTGAGGAGCTGGGGCTGACTTGCAGGAGGGAGGGGCTCTGGGGGAGGGGTTCCCGTGGAGGAACAGCCTATGCGAAGGCCGGAGAGCAGCTGGAGGTGGGGGCGAGGGCCAGAGAGAGGAGGGCCTCAGGGCCACGGGAAGGAAGTGGCTTCCCTGCCAGGGACCGGAGACTGTGGCCAGTCCGAAAGGTGCTGAGCGGGACGGGAAAAGGCCAAAGGCCCGGCAGGGAGGGCCATCAGGGCTCCTGTGACCTGACGGGCTCGGACCAGGACTTGCTGGTGGAGGCCCAGGCTGTCCCCACTGAGGGGGGCTTTCTCTACTCCACCAGGTCCCTCCTTTCCCAGAGCCTCCCACAGGTCAGGGTCCCCAATGTAGTTGTGCCAACTCAGGCTCCATGCCAGGCCCTGCTGCCCAGGTGACCTCAGCAAACACCCAGGGCAGACCTGGAGGTGTAACAGAATGAATGAACCCTCACTGCCTATGGCGGAAACAGACGCCCCGGGAGGAGGGGCAGACCCAGGCCCAGGCAGAGCCTCCCGCTTTCTAAGGGGGGCTGAGCCGTGGTCCCTGGGGCTCCCTAAGGGGTGAGCAGCTTGGCTCCCTGCTCGGGTTGGAGGGCTGCCTGAACCCCCCCCAGCTGGGCTGTGGACGCAGCCAGGCTTCATGAAGCTCTGCACCCAGGGAAACGGGGATCCCCGGCAAACATGAGAGGCCCGGAGGGATCGGACCTGAACGGGGGTGGGAGACAGACCCAGAGAGGGGGTGGGTGTGGCCAAGGCCACACGTGAACCAGTGGGACCTCAGCAGGTCAGCTGACCTCTCTGAGACACCCTTTCCTTTTGTTTTTTATCCTCACCCGAGGACATTTCTGCATTTATCTTCAGATAGAGCAGGAGGGAGAGAGGGGGGAACAGAGAGAGAGAAACATCAATGTGAGAGAGACACATCAAGTGGCTGCCACCCACATGACCCCAACCGGGGCTGGGGACAAACTGCAACCAAGGCACGTGCCCTTAGCGGGAACCGAACCCGGGACTTTCGGTCTGCGGGCCGACGCTCACCGCTGAGCCAAACCGGCCAGGGCTGAGACACCCTTTCTCCATCTGTCAGCTCCATGAGGCAGGGCCAGCTGTTTGGTTCACGGGTGTGTGTCCCTGGCGTTTCGGACATGGCCCAGCGCGTTAGTTCAATGGGTCAATCTGTAAGATGGGCTGGTTGTAGCGCCGCTGCCTAGGGAGGCTGCAAGGCTCAGACGGCTGCTTGGTGCCAGGCTGCTGGTAGACACTCAGCAGTAGGAGCCGTTCTGTGTTTACCCTGACTCCTGGCCAGGCACTTCCAATCTCTGTCCTGGGGCGGGGGTGCCCTGGGCAAAGAAGGCACTAGCAGGGAGCTGGAGCTGATAGCATCTTTGGGTAGACTGGTTTTCCCCTTGGCAGGGCCTGAGGCCTCAGGGGAAGGAAGTGCCCAGAGCTTACCCCATCCTCCTCCGCCTTGAAGTGCAGCCAGGGGTCCTGGCGAGCCCAGGGCCTTCCTCCAGCCTCGGAGGGAGCGAGCACGAGGTGGTCCTGGGCCCCGGGACCCTCCGGCAGGGTGGTCAGGAGTTCTGAGCGTGACCTGCTCCTCATGCTTCCCAGGGCCTGGCCGGGAGGGACGACCGTCCCAACCCAGGGCCTGGAACGGCCCCAGCCAGCTCCCGTCAGCCTCTGTGCCTCCAGCTTCGGGGCCCTCTTTCTGCAGAGGGCTCAGAGGGAGGGTCCCCAGGACAGCAGACCCCGAGGTCACCGTGGCAAGGCCTTGGTATCTGGGAGAATTCGACCAATGGACTGGGACAGATTGGAGGAGGAGTGGGGAGTTGGGGGGCGCAGGGAGTTCCTGGGGTCTCAAGTCCCTTCGCACACCTCGAACCACAGCCTGGAATGAGCTGGCCTCCCCTGAGGCTGTGAGCCCTCCTGCTCCGGCAGCTTGTCACTGCCAGGGCCCAAGGCCACCGCAGCCTCCCTGGGTGGGATCAGGTTTCCCACTGACGGGGCTGGGAACCAACCCTTCCTCCCTCACCCGCCCGCCAGGGAGAGCTGAGCCCTCCTGAATAATTCACAGGCTTCACAGCAGGCCGGAGGCTCACGGGAGTGGGGCGCTGCCTCTCCCAGCAGGGCTGCCTGGGTCCCAGATTGTGCCCTGTGGCCGAGGCCAGTTCGAGCCTCTCCCCTCCCCAGTTCCCGGCCTGGGGTCCCCAGGCTTAGGGAGCAGGAGTCACCAACCCCAAATGGGCAGCTAGGCTGGCACTGGTCCACACCTCCTCCACTGGCCGCCTCCCCCCACGTCCCAGCCCCTCCTGCCAGCCTACTCTGGCAGCCACACAAAAGTGCCTCCTTATAGCCAGGACACACACCACTGCTTTGCAGGGGCAGGGATAGGGCACGAGCCCTCTGTCCACCTCCCTGAGATTCATGGTGGCCTCGGGGGCCTCCGCTCACCAGGCCGGGCCATCTGGCCAGAGCAGGCACCAGCCCAATCACGGCCGCACCCAGCGGGGCCTGGCAGGGCAGGGCCCCAGGCCCCGAGGCTGAGAGGCTGTCCAGAGCCTTCCCCAGGCCTAGGTGAGGGGCTCCGGGCCCAGTCTGGGGCCTCCCACCCCTCCTGCCTCAGCTCCTCGTCAGCGTTTCCAGGGCGGCTAGGGGCCCTCCCGGGTCACAGTTTGGGCTAAGTTGGCATCGCCACTAGCCTGGCTTTTTGGTGTGGGAGGGTGGCCAGAGCCCGCCCCTCCCCTCCCCGGACCTCTGTGTCCTCTGCATTAGGTGGGGTGATGGGACAGAAGCATCAGAACCACCTCTGTGGGGGTGGGGCGTGTCACAGGTGCTGCTCCCCAGCCTGAGTCTGAGGCCGGGACTCAGCCCCCGGGGGTGCTGACGGGGCCAGGTCGGGAGCCTGTGATCCAGCGTCTCTGGCTCCTACTCTAAATCCCACTGCCCTTGACTTGGCCCAAACCTCAGCGTGTCCGGAGCAGAGAGTTCACAGGTACCAAGTGGCCCCGGCAGGGACGGCTATGAAAAGAACCCCTGGTCCGAGGAGGGCGGCCTGTCTGCTGGTCTCCCACTAACCAAGCCAGGAACCTCTCGCTGAGCGAGACCACTGCAGGCCGCTGGGGTCTTAGAGATGCCCTACATCCGCGCCAAAGTGCCAGCCACCCTGCCCTGAGCCCATGGGGCCAGCAGCCTCCTGCCTGCTCCCTGGTGGCCAGTGGCCTGGCAGGTGCCCTCGGGGAGAAGCCAGTACATGGAACCTCTCACCTGGTGGCTGCCATCCTTAGGCTGGGCCCTCTGACGCTGCTTATATCCTAGGCACCCACTTGGACTGACAAAGGCCACTGGTCGGAGACCCCATCTGTCAGGTCCCAGGCGCACACCGGTGCCCCAGTCCCCTGGCAGTGTCTGTGCGGCTTCTGCCCCGGACTCCTGTCCCCCCAGCTGCACCTAAGACCTGGCTCCCTGCCTCCCCCAGGACCTGCCCCCGACTCACCTGGGGGGCCCCCAGCCCACTGCTCAGACTGAGGGCCCCTGGGGGTTTGGGAGCCCCAGCGCCTTGGGAGTGGGAATGGGCCGAGGGGCCCCAGGAAACAGGCTGCTCTGTGGACAGCCTGGTGGGTGGGCTGTTGGGGCTAGAGGTGGGGTGGGGATCTGGGCGGGCAGCCCTCTCCCTCCACATTGGATAATTGCCATGGCTTCTCCTCCATCGCCTTCCTGACTCGGGGTCCAGGAGAGGCTCTTGTCACCCCCCCATTTAGATCAGCCTTGCAAATGAGCAGAGCCGGAAATTCTGCTGGAGCTGAGGGGAGCCCACTGCTGCAGGATGAGGAGCACCCCGGGGGGAGCCCGCTGCTGCAGGCCGGCGAGCACCCCGGGGGGAGCCCACTGCTGCAGGATGAGGAGCACCCCAGGGGGAGCCCACTGCTGCGGGCCAGTGAGCACCCCAAAGGGAGCCCGCTGCTGCGGGCCGGCGAGCACCCCAAAGGGAGCCCACTGCTGCAGGCCGGCGAGCACCCCAAAGGGAACCCACTGCTGCGGGCCGGCGAGCACCCCAAAGGGAACCCACTGCTGCGGGCCGGCGAGCACCCCAAAGGGAGCCCGCTGCTGCGGGCCGGCGAGCACCCCAAAGGGAGCCCGCTGCTGCGGGCCGGCGAGCACCCCAAAGGGAACCCGCTGCTGCGGGCCGGCGAGCACCCCAAAGGGAACCCACTGCTGCAGGATGAGGAGCACCCCAAAGGGAGCCCACTGCTGCAGGCCGGCGAGCACCCCAAAGGGAGCCCGCTGCTGCGGGCCGGCGAGCACCCCAAAGGGAGCCCGCTGCTGCGGGCCGGCGAGCACCCCGGGGGGAGCCCGCTGCTGCGGGCCGGCGAGCACCCCGGGGGGAGCAGGTGATTTGGGGCTGGATGCCCAGTGCTTGCGGGGCTCTGGGACAAACAGCAGCGAGCCTGCCAGGAGGGAGAACCCTCAGCTTGGTAGGAGCTGTCTCTGGCCCCAGGAGCGGCCACTCCCCAAGAACGCTGGAGAGGCGGGGTAGACTTCAAGCATCCCCCAGCCCTGGCCGGCCCCCCCAGAGAGCCCGCAGAGGGGTGTCCTTACTCAGGGTGGTGCCCGATGAGAAGCCTCAGGGAGGGGAAGTCTCCTTTGGCGGCAGCATAGTGGACGGGCAGGGCGCCCGTGTCTGTGGCTATGGTGGGATCCCCACCACCGTGACGCAGCAGCCAGTCCACCACCTCAGGGTGGCCGAAGCGGGCGGCCAGGTGCAGGACTGTGGCACCAGAATTGTCTTTGTCCTGTGGAAGGAGAGCCTGTTAGTCTTAAAGTCTTGTCCTGCTCCCATCTCGGGCTCAGTCCACTTCCTGCCTCCCGCTGGCCATGGGCCCCTAACTGGTCCTCTTCGAGCGTCACTCCGTAAGTGGCACCACCAAGCCATCCCCGGTGGGCTTTCTGAGAACTGCAGTGGTGACTGAAATGCCCACACATAGTAGGCTTTCGGGACGTGGCACCCTTGTCCCAGCAGGAGTTCCAGCGTCTGGCCAAGACCCGCGCCCGACACCGGGTGCTCAGGGAAACCTGAATCAGTGAGCGAGAGCTGCTGGGCCAGGAAGGGTGGGCTGCTGGGGCTGCACCAGGTTGGCATCAGGACTGTGGGGGCACCTTCTGCATCCGATCCTTGCCTCCTGCCCCTCCCCAGGTGTCTCGTGGGAAGGGCCTCCGGACTCCTGCTCTTCCCCCAGCCCAAGCTCGGTGAAGAGGACTCCTCTGCCCCAGCCCACGGGCTGCCGTCAGCCAGGAAAACAGGCTGCCTGAGCGGCGGTGGACAGGGCCTGGGCACTCAGCCGATGGTGGCAGACCCTCGCCGGCACCCAGAGGCGGCGGGACAATGGTCCTGAGTGCCGAATACGTCCTCATGAACAGCCAGGTGTGCGTGTCTGCTGCGGAGGGCGAAGTGGGGTGCTGCCCACGTGCCCTGGGTGAGGAGGACAATGATACCCAGCAGTCGGGACTCAGAGGCTGGCCGGCCGGTTTGGGAGAGTGGGCAGGGGTTCTAGACCAGAACGGGCGCCCAGCACACGGGGCGGCAGAGATGAGCAGGGGGCTGGGCCCGGGCAGTGGTGAGAGGCGGGCACCGGTTACGAGAATCAGGGGCGTGAAGCCCCTCTTCCCAAAGAGGGCACCCTGGGGACAGGTGTGGCTGAGGCCGGAGGAGAGAGCCTCTGGTTCCTGTGAGAACCGTCAAAGGAAACGAGGGATGGAGGGCACGGGGTCCAGGGCATGGCCGGTCAGGCACAGAGGCCGTGGGGCAGGGGGCAAGGTCGCCAGCCCGGAAGGAGGCAGGGAGCACAGAATAAGGCAGAGAGTGAGGCAGGGAAGAGGGGAGGACACTGAGACCCCTCTGTGCTGGAATGCCCAGGCAGGACAGAAGTCTCATTCGGGGGACAGCACTGGTTAGAGGTGACCCAGGCAGGACTACGGGGAAGTGAGTCCAGCTCTTGAGAAAGGCCCTCGAATCCTCCTGGCCTTGGGGACTGGGGGTCTGACACTCCAGGGGGATCCTGTTGGCTCTGGCCTCTGGATGGGGGTGTCAGGAAGCAGAGGACCCCAGGCTCATGGGCTCTGGCCGGTCCCGGAGGCTTCAGGAGCCGCACGTGCTGTGACCTGCACCCTAAATCTGCTTATCTCTCTGGGCCGAGCGGGCCCAGGATCGAGGTCACCCTCCCCCCGCACACACTTCCGCCCCCGGTGCCCAAGCCTGCTGGGCTCGAGGGCGGGAGGTTTGATAAGCTGGGCACAAGGCCACCGGCTCTCCTACCTCCTCTGCAGCGGCTAGGGAGGCTTCCGGCCAAGACTGGACACTGGGATCGGGGAGGCATGCCACCTCCCGAAACAGTGGGCATATATCACGTGCCAGGAACTCTGATAACAGAGCCAGGAGATAAGGGGCCAGGGCACCTCCCAGGAAGGGTAGAAGTGGTGGGGCTTTGCCATCCTGAGGGCAAAAAGGGGGGCAGGGGTCTGGCCATCCTTAGGGCACAGACAGCCAGCTCAGTGGCTTCTGCCTCTTCTTTCACATCCAGTGAACCCCCCAATGGTCTTGCTCAAAGGTCTGGTTCCTCCCTCCCCAATGACCAGAGTATCTTGCAAGTGCCTGACTCCAGCCTGAGACCCTCTGGGCCCTGGCTCTGGTGGCTTCTCCCATCCTCACGCTACTCCAACACTCGCCTTCCTGCTGCTCCCTCAACAGGACAAGAATGTGTACACCTCGGAGCTCCGCACGGCTTGTTCCTCGAGCTTGGAACTGCCTGCTCATCACCTGGCCACTTCCTTCTCCCCAGCCAGGGCTCCTCTTGGAGGCCACTCCAAAGAGGGGCCTTCTATGGCCACCTCGCCCAAGCAGCCCCCTGATGCTCCCCACCGCATAGGGCAGCAGTACTCGGTGGTGCTGGTCGACTTCTTAGCCTGTGGGTTTGTTGTCTGTGCTTCGATGGACTGGCAGCTCCAGGGAGGGGGGAGCGCTCCGGGGCCCCCAGGCCTAGTGCCTGTTGGGAGTAGGAGAGCTACTCATCGGAGCCTGAGCTGCCTCCTCCTCCAGCTCAGGAGGAGCCAGGGTTCCACCAGCGTGGGGCCACTGGGACCAGGCGGGGTCTCGGGGCAGGGGGACTTGGGCTGGGCCGGAGAGGCAATTTGGAGCTGGGAGGCCAGAAGGGGCTGGGGAGTTACCCATTTACCGGGCCCACCACCCGTTCCCCATGCCCTAACCTTGGGGACACCTGCCTCTCAACCTGGGGTGGGCTGTAAGACTTTGCCCGCCTCCCTCTAGACCTGATCCGGGAGGACATGGGCTTCTGATTCGGTGTGGAGGCCTTTGGTGCCCTCCCCACCCTCCAGGACTCCCTGGACCAGTGCTTTGTCCCCACCCCCAGTTTAAATATTAGTCTACTTGGGCTCCATCCGCTCTGTCTCTCCATCATCACCGGCCAAGACTAGACGGGTATCTGTCCTGGTACTCACTCCAAACCCCGGACCACCTCACCCCCATCCCTCTGGTAGGAGCTCTGGAACAGGTTCAGTTGGGTCCAGGCCAGAACTCTGTCCGGGAGGAAGCCCCTGGGCAGCCAGGGAGTGGGGGGACTCACCTGCACTCTGCAGCCGCCCTGCGAGAACAGCCACTGCAGGCAGGCGAGGTGGCCGGTGGCAGCGGCATCGTGGGCTGGGGTGGCGCCGTTCCGTGCACGCGCCGTGCCCCGCAGGCCGGCCTCCTCCACCAGGAAACGCAGACAGTGCAGCTTGCCGGAGCGGGCCGCGTGGTGCACCGGCAGCGCGTCCAGGGGGTCCCGCATCCAGGGCCCCAGCTGGCCGGCAGCGTGCAGCGACTTCAGCACGTCCAGGTCGCCCTGCCGCGCCGCCTGCAGCGCCTGCTCCAGGGCCATCGTGCCGGCCGCAGCTCTGCCCAGCACTCAGCGCGCTCCCCAGGGCGCCATGCGCCTGTCCTCGGGCACCCGGAGAGTCCGCGGCGCGGCCGTCGGGGCCCAGAGGGTTGGGAGGCGGAGCGCGGCCAGCCCGGCTTCTGCTCCGCACTGCCTCTCGCTCCGCTCCGCCTCCGCTGCGCTCTGGGCCCGGGCCCCGCGGCACCCGGCTTAAGCCTCGGGCCCGCCCCCCGCACCGCCTCCGTCCCGCCCAGCCTGGCCGCGCACCGCCCCGCGCCAGGTGACGGGAGGCCAGGGACTTGACTCCTAAAGGCCCATCAGAGGAAGTGCCCTGGGCCGGGCTTTGAGTGGCAAAAGGGGCGTTCCAGGCAGGGGGACTGCAAGGGCAGAGGCCCGAGGCAGGAGCAGGCCCAAGTCCCCTGTGCTCTGGGTCTAGGCCCCAGTGGGTGCAACTGGTGCTGGGCCCTCAGCCCTTCTGAGCCCCACCGGACCCCAAGAACTGCTCTCAGAGCTCCAGCAGGGCGGGAGGGCGAAGGAGGGAAGGACGGGAAGGCCTGGGGGCTCAGGTGTCTGGATCTAGAGAGGTGGGTTCAGGGAGCCCCCGAAGCTGCTGTCTGGGTGGGAGGAGTTAACTGTGATCTTGAGGGCGCCGAATGGGGAGCGGGAAAGCAGGAATGTACGGGTGAGGACAGTGGGGAGGTGCGCAGAGCAGTCACCAGGAGCGTGGGGCCAGGGCCCGACACAGAGGGCTCAGCGGGGCTCCAGGAGGGCAGCTGGCCAGCAGACCACACGTGGACAAAGCACCCGGCCTGCACGGCCAGAAGCTTCCTGGGAGCCGGAGGGAGGCACAGCCCCAGGGACACCAGGGAGAGCTGCCAGAGGGCGGGGGCTGCGGGAGTGCAGTGAGCACATCCTGTGACTTGGAGACAGTCTGTGCTCTGCCTTGCCCCCACCCCACCCCTCCCTGGAGCCCCAGGGGGGCCTGGCGGGGGGGGGGGGCTGTTTCCCAGCACCGGGCCAGCGGCACAGGGCCGTGCTCAATGTCCCAGAGTGAAGTTGCCTCCAGGAACAGTGGGAGTCCAAGCGTGGGATTCTGGGGCTGCCACGGACACCATTCCCTGGGCCGCCACCCGGTGGCACTGTGATGACCTTCCGAGCTCCAAGAAGCCCTGTACACCAGAGCCGCTGAGCCAGTGTGGTGGGGTGGGCCTCCAGTGACTTCCACCTGGCCACACCAGCCTTATTCCCTCCCTGGGACCCGTGGCCACTCGGGTTTGTGGACAAGGGGAGGGAGGAGTCCTAACCTCCATACCTTGGCTGGTTCGTGATGCCCATGGAGCTGCCCTTCTCCAGCCCATCCGGTGGCAGGCACACCCCGAGGCCCGAGAGCGGCAGGGGTGCTGCAAGGGGGAAAGAGCTGAAATGGTTTGTCTTGGGCGACCCTCCCCCTGCCTCCTCCATGACTAAAATCACGTCCTGCAATTCATGCCCTTCACTCCCCAGGTGGCTCCCCTGGTCCTGGACACCACAGGGTTTTGTCATGTTGGGAGCCAGGTCTGGGTGATGGGCTGCTACTGTGGTGTTTGGCAATGCAAGAGGCCCCGGAGCCCCTCCCCCACCAAGAGGGACTTCTCTGTAAAAGTCACCTGTGTGCGCCCATCCTTGCTGATCATCTTAGACTCCTCCGAGGACACCACTCGGACTCGGCTGCGATCCAGACCTCCCCTGTCCTCTCTGGGCTCCTGCAGGTTCATGGGGTCCTGGCCAGAGCCCCCACTTGCAAGAACATGTTTACAGAAGTCCTGCCATTTATCGGGTACTGTGCCAATCTTCACTCTCATTTTTACTCCCAACAGGGATGCTACGAGACAGGCACAACCATTATTCCAATTTTACAGCTGGAGAAACTGAGGCACAGGGAGGTTTGTTTGGTTTTACTTTCTTTTTTTTTTATCCTCACCTGAGGACATTTTTCCATATTTTAATATTCAGACAGAGCGGGAAGGAGAGAGAGGAAGAGAGAGAGAGAGAAATATTGACATGAAAGGGACACATCGAGTGGCTGCCACCCACACAACCCAACCAGGGCCGGGGACAAACTGCAACTGAAGTACACGCCCTTAGCGGGAACCGAACCAGGGACTCTGTGGACTGCAGGCTGACGCTCTAACCGCTGAGCCAAACTGGCCAGGGCTGTTTTGTTTTTCAACGTAAGGGGAAAGGTGAAAGGTCACCTTCTTCCCTCCACACCTGCCTTTCCCTCTGCACCTGATGTTCCCAGGGCCTGTTTTAGCCCCACTGCCTCCCACCCTCCAGATATCTCCTTAGGGACTCCCCCTGGGAGACCTCCTCTCATCCTTCTGCTGGGCTCAGGCCATCCGACAGTCTGGTGGAAAATGCCCATTCAGACCTCTCCCCAAACCCACGGGCAGGGACCAGGGGTGGATTGTGTCCCCAGGTGGCCCCACCTTCCCTAAAGCCTGGCCTCACATGCCCTGCACACTCAGTTGACTTACCTACACCAAGTTCCCCAGATTATAAACTAGTCCTTCCTCCAGTTAACCAGCAAAGCCCCAGCATCCTTCAGGGGAAAGCAATGGTGTGTGTGCTCCCTGGTCACAGTCCTTCACAGCAAGGGGAGAATGGAGGACAAACTAAAAAACCTGGGGTAACTGGCACTGAAAAGGGAGTTTGCTCCCCACACAGGTCTTCAAATGGTGCTCCACAACGTCCTTTTCTGAGCTCTTATAGGTACCTGGGCCCGAAGATGCAAGGGGGACAGGGACTCAGGTACCTCCAGGCCCTGTCCGGTTAAATGTGTTGATTTATTCTCATCATTGGGACTGTTATGAGGGTTAATGGAGGTGAGGGACAAAAAGCGATTAGCCCTGCACTTGGCTCACTCCATAAAAGGTGGCCAGGTGGCCCTTTGCGTGCCAGACAGGTTCAGGTGGCCAGAGCTGCCTCTTGCCCAAGCTGCTTGGGGGCCCTTTCTCACGGGCACACTGGTCATCTCGGGCCCTGCTGGGGGAGCACCAGGCAGCAGGACTGGACGGAATGGGACCAGAGATGGGGTTTGGTGACGGGGTGTGGGCACGTCCAACACGCCCCCGAACAGCGCCTGTTTTGGCTCCGCCCAGCGTGCCTCCTCCAGGCCTGGCTGGGTAGGCCCACCCTCTTGCGCCCCCGGGTGGGCCGGGCAATCCGCAGTGCTGTTTCCCGGGGTGGCCGTTGCCCCGAGCAGATGGGCGGGGGACGCCCAGCCAGTTTGCTGCACCAACCGCCACGCGGTGAGGAGGCGGGCCCGTCGGCCGCTGGGGCCAAAGCAGGCGCCCCGAGCCCGCACCCAGAACCTCCCCTCCTGGCCGTCACGTGAGCTGCGCCTGTCCCGCGGGTGGGAACGGACCTAATGCCAGTTGAAATTAAAATGAGCTCTGAGGGCTCCTGGGTGGCCTGGTCTTCTCTGGGCCTCAGTTTTCCCCTTGAAAACCGAGGCCGGGGAACCAGATGACCCCTGCCTCAGAGAGCCGCCCTAGGATTCTGTGGAGTCCTTAGAGCCCTGTCCAAGGCCTGAGCAAGCTGAGAGCTCTCTGTGGGTCTCTTTCCTTGCTGCTCAGACCCTCTGTCCGCAGAGCAACTGGTGGGGCAAGTCCCTCCTGGTAGTAGAAACCTGCATGGGAGCTCCCTAAGTCCTGGGCCTTGGGGTCCTGCCCCCACCTGGTCCCCTGCCCAAGCTAAGGCCCGGGCTCAGAGGAGGCTCTGAGCCCGAATGAATGAAGAGGGCGGCGCTGGATGAGGAGGGACCCCAGCCCCAGCCAGGCGAAGTCTAGCCCCATGCGCGCGCCCCTCCTGCCCGATGGGTCAGGGCAGTGATGGCTGCCCTGGCGCCCATACACCCCCTAAAGGGGCTCGGGGGGCGCCCTGGGCCCGCGACCCCGCCGCAGACAGGACGCGAAGGGCTGGAGCGAGATCCCTGGGGCTCTGCCCTCCGCCTCCCCCTGCCCCCACCTCCTGCCCGGGGCAGGAACAAAGGCGCGGGGTGGGACCCGCAGGCGGCCTGACTCCGCGGGGCGGGCCGGGGCGGGGCGGGCGACGCCGCCTCCTTAAAGCCGCGGGGCGGGCGCGGGCCGCTCTCCGCCAGCGCTTCCCCCCGGGTCTGGCTCTCCTCTCGGGGTCGGCAGCGCAGTTTCCCACGCGCCTGGCGCAGCAGCGCCGCTTCCCCGGCCAGCATGGGGCTGCCTCGCAGGGCCGGGGACCCGAGGGAGCTGCGCAAGGTAGGAGCCGGGGGCTGGGGGCTGGAGCCGGGGGGCGAGGCCTGCGGCCCGCGTAACCCCGGTCCCCGCGCCCGCGCGCAGAGCCTGAAGCCGCTGCTGGAGAAGCGGCGCCGCGCGCGCATCAACGAGAGCCTGAGGCAGCTCAAGGGGCTCATCCTGCCGCTGCTGGGCCGGGAGGTGAGTGCCGGGGCGCCGGGCGGGGGCCTGGGGCGCGCAGCGAGGACGGTGGGGGGCCGATCGCCTTTGACCCAGGGTTTGGCCGGGAGGCTGCGCGCGGCGCGGAGGCCGAGCCCGGGAGGCTAGTCCGGCAGCCGCCCTCCGCCGGCCGGGCATGCGGCCCCCTGCTCCCGCAGCCTGCCGGAGATCTGTCCCGATTGTCCGTTTCTCTGTCACTCTCCCTGGTGGCCTGTCTCAGAGCTCCGGTTGTTCGAAGCTGGAGAAGGCGGACATCCTGGAAATGACCGTGCGCTTCCTACAGGAGCTGCCTGCGTCCTCCGGCCTGGCGACAACCCCCAGTAAGTGACCCAGCCCCGGAACCGCCCGCATCCCGCGCCTCGCCCGGCGCCTGGCCCCCGCCTCACGCGCCTCTCCGCCCCCAGCGCCCTCCGACAGCTACCGCGAGGGCTACGGCGCCTGCCTGGCGCGCCTGAGCCGCCTGCTGCCCGCCTGCCGCGTCCTGGAGCCCGCCCTGAGCGCTCGCCTGCTGGAGCACCTGCGGCGCAGGGCGGCCGGCGCCACCCCCGACGGCGGGCGCACCGAGGACTCCTGCCACCCACCCTCGCCCGCCCCGCCGGCCGCCCCCGTGCCCTCGCCGCCCGCGCCTCCCCGCGGCCCTGGCCTCTGGCGGCCCTGGTAGTCCCCGGCCGGTCCCGGACCCTGCTGACTGCCCCTGGGGACCGAGGAAGCTCTTGCTAACACCTGCTGTTCCCGCCACAAGGGGTCAGCCCAGCACCCCGAGCCAGGCCCGCAGCCCGGATGTTTGTGATCTGTGTGGCACCCTGAAGGCCAGGGGAACTCAGCTGGAAGACACGTCTGTCCCAGCGCTGGTGCCAACCCGTGGGCCAGGCCAGAGCTCGCCTGAGCCAGGTGCGGCATCTGTTCTGACTGCCCTCCCAGCCCTTCTTGGGCCGGCCTCCTCACCAGCTCTGCTCGGGAACCTCTGGGCGGACAGAAGCCGTGACTCCAGGGGCTCTGCAGGCGGGGGCCATCCCCTCCCCTCCTGGGCTTTCCTGTCCAAAGCCTCTAATTATAGAGACTGGTGGCAGCCAGTGTCTGTGCTGTTGGGGGGGAGGGGCTTCGCTAGGTGGGCTTGGGGAGGATTCATTTCCCCAACATTACTTTAATCTGGTTTATGTGCCAGGTGTGAGGAAGTGGTGGGACACAAGTGAGGGTGCCCCGTGGCCTCAAGGGGGCCCGGCACAGAGACAGATGGGCGGTGCGCATGGGCCATGTCACGGAGCAGCGGCAGTCCAAGGGATGACGGCAGGTGAAGGACCAGAGAACGCCTCTCCTCGTTCTCTTGCCCGCTGCTCCTGGCTGCTCTTCAGGACGGGTAACTGAAACCAGCTTGTTCTTAGGACGTTTCTCTCTTCCCTGTGGAGGTCAGGAGAGCCTTCGAAGACTCAGGGAGGGGCCTGAGGGTCCCAGGGGTCGGGGCCCTGGACGAGGTGGGAGCCCCACTGTTGGTCACGTTCCCACCACTTCCTGAGGATTCGCTGAGCATCCTTGAGAAGGTGGGAGCCCGTCCTTCAGTGCCTAGTCCAACAGCCTGTGCTAGGGACCAGGGCACTAGGGGCAAGAAGATTTGCTGGGGACAGGGGGACACTAGACCCATGATGACCTCGGCAATGATTTGGCTGGCACGACGTGGGAAGCTGTAGGTGTTATGGAAGAAGTCACTGCTAAGACAGCAGGGTGAGCCCTCGGCGAGCTGTCCTGTCCTACCCGACCTGTGGGCCCAGCTGGCTGGACTGTGAGCTCCTGGAGGGCGGGGCCGGGGCTGAGGGCACCTCTCGGCCGTGAGGCACTGGGCACATGGTGGGGTGCTCAGTAAACACTAAGGAACGGGTGATGTGACCAGACCGTGATGTACTGAGCCCTGGGCAGCCTGGCCTTTGTCTCACCTCCTACCCAGGGGCCCCTAACATCACTGCACATCTGCCCCCCCAGGGCTGTCCTCTGGGGGGGGGGACACAAATGGGGGAGGGCGTGCAGAGCAGGGAAGGCAGTTTCTGCTTCCTTTCTCCTGCCCCCGAGAGTGCGCGAAGTCTGGGGACTGCTCTGCTGAGCGGCCAGGAGAGGAGGAGGGGCAGGTAACCTCCAAGCGCACCGTTTCCTCCTGGAAACGTCCAGCACCCAGCGGGCTGGCTCCTCGTTCCTCTGAGCAAGAACCTTCAGTGCAGGTTTAAACTCTGTAAGCGCTGACTGTCCGGAGGCCCCGTCCTCCCACCGGCCGGCCCTTGCTTCTGAGCTCCGTCTGGGCCCCCGGCGCTGCGACTCTCACTGACCTGACCTCAACTGAGCTATAAAGCAAACAGTCAGGGAGGAGGTGTGTAGATAGGCCAGTGACTCAGGGTCAGGCATTCCGGGGCACCTGAGCTGGGCAGCCAGCCAGCCCTGGCAGGAAGCTGAGCTAGGCCCAGACAGGTGAGGCTCTGGGCCCGAGACAAGAAGCTGGCTTCCCAGCAGGGACGTGCAGAAGCTGCCCAGGGGCCTCGGCCAGCCCTCCGACGGGGCTTGTGAAATAGGGAAGCCAACACCCTCCTGCACAGGGCACCTGCAGACACCCACCTTCTCCTGGCAGCTCCCCTGGTATTCCTAGAGCCCTGTCTGATGCCAAAGGTGAGCCCAGGATCGGTCGGGCTTTTTCTGTGTGGGAGGGAGGCTACCTCACTCAGGAGCATTTCATGAGACTTAACGAGGCCCACATGATGCTCAATGGCCGGTTCTTGTGATGCCCCTTCTGCGATGGCCCCATGATTGACTGTCTGGATATCACGCTTGGTTGAGAAAAGGGCCCCATGTTCCCTATAAACCAGTGGGTGAAATGATCCAGTGACCCAAGGACAAGCAGAGCACTGAGCTGTGTGTGGCTCAGGCTGGAGCCAGGCCTCACCCACGCCCCTGGCATCAGTTAATTCGAGAGGTCAAACCTCCTTTCCATGATCAAGGATAAAGAGCGGTTGCCAAGGAGACCTCCTCTAGTAAACATTTACTAACTGCTCTGCTCTGCATGTGAAGTGCAGACGCTGAGGCTGAGTCTCCACTGGCTTCTCTGGAACGGGAGCAGAGTGAACCAGGTCTGGGAAGACCCTGGGCTCCGCAGAACCCTCCCCACCGAGCTTTGAGGGGCCACTCTGAAGCTGGTGGCGAGGTAGAGGGGCCTTCCCCATCCGGTGCAGCCACCTCCCACTCCAAACTCCAAACATCAAGGCCAGATTAACTTTGAAAAGGTACATGTTTTTATTGATTTGTTTAGAGAGAGAGACATTGATCTGTTGCCTCCTGCACACCCCCCACTGGGGATCAAGCCCAAAACCCCAGCATGTGCCCCACAGGGAATCGAACCGGAACCTCTTAGTCCATGGGATGACGCTCAGTCCACTGAGCCACACCAGGCAGGTGAGATTTATTTTTAAAAAGCACACCAGGTTGCTCTAGCCGGTCCAGTGTTGCTATTTCCTTGGCTTTCTTTTTTTTTTCATCCTCACTTGAGGACATTTTTGCATTGATCTTCAGATAGAGCGGGAGGGAGAGAGGGAGGAAGAGAGAGAGAAACATCGATGTGAGAGAGAGAGACATCGACTGGCTGCCACCCACACAACCCCAACCGGGGCCAGGGACAAACTGCAACCGAGGTACGTGCCCTTAGTGGGAACTGAACCCGGACGCTCTAACCACTGAGCAACCGGCCAGGGCTGGCTTTCTTTTTTTAAAAAAATACTTAATTTATTGATTTTTAAAATTACAGATGTCCCTCCATTTTCCCTATTTGACACCCTCCTCCCCACTCCCATGTCCCCCTTCACCACAGTGTTGTCTGTGTCCATCGGTTCTACATATATGCATAGAAGTTCTTTGGTTTCTCTCTTCTTGTCTGGCCCCTCACCAGTGTGGGCCTATCTCTGGGGTGCGAGTGTGTGAGCGCCTGTGCCCGCATCTCGGTGCAGCTGGGGAGCTGCCCCACGGAGAGCTGCCCGGGCTTGTCAAGTCTGGGCGAAGGTAACCACCTGCTGCGGGTTTCCGGTGAGCAACTAGTTTCACTGTGAGGTTTGCGCGGCCCTGGCGAAGCCTCAGGCGCTTAGAGCAGCTACAACAAAGCTTTGAGAGGTTTCAGGAGCGTGAGAAAGGTACCTGGGGGCACGCCCTGCCTGCGTGTGCGGTGTCTTGTCGTTGGAGATCCACTGGAGGGCAGCAGGGAGCAGGGCCGCGTCGGGGCTTGCAGGACCCCACTGGTCAATGAGGGGTTCCCTGGGCTGGCGGCCAAGGAGGGAGACTCCACGCTGAGTACGTGGCCCCTGCTGGTTTTGTCTTGGTGTTCAGGAGCCCAGGACAAAGTCCTTCGAGAACAAGCAACCATTCTCGACCTCGGCAAGCAGAGGCAGGTCCAGGTGTTGTAGGGGCTACAGACTGAGGCCCTCTGTAAGAAAACTAATATAAAATTATGACTACAGACTTCGTAGGAAAGTGAATACTCAGAACAAAAATGTAAGTCGCATCAAACCAGGGTGTTTGCAGACTGGGGTCCCATCCTAGGCTCTCGAGGCAGGTTACCGGGTACAGGTGCACCGAAATGCTTCCTGGTGACAACCCAGCCTCCCGTCTGCTCCCAGAACATTCTGTCGCTCTATGTCCTGCTCCCCCAGCAGCCCCAGACTTCATTCTCATCCGCCTCACGGAAAATCCACATGTCCAGGGTGGACTCTGTTCGGATGACAGCAGATAAATGCCTTCGTCTTCATCCCTGCATTGTGAGCTGTGGGAAAGACGACATGTATTTAGACAAACGGTGTCATCACTGACAGCAAGTTTTCCCCCTTCACACCTATCTGGGAAGCTCGCGAAATGCAGATTTCCAGGTCCCACCTGCGGGGGTTCTGACTCCCACTCTCCCGGGGCCAGGTTAATCTGCTCTGGCAAAGCCCCACATCTGAGAATGGGGGTGCCGGGGGCAGGGGGTGGGTGGGAGCGGGGTGGGGAGCTAGTGTTCCGCAGGGACAGAGTTCTGGTTCTGCAAGGTAAGCAGGGTTCTGGAGGTGACGGTGGCGATGGTGGCACAACAGTGTGAATGTACTTACGACCCCTGAACTGTATGCCTATGAATGCTCAGGACGGTCAGCGTCTGTGTGTTTACCGCCGACCCTAAGGAAACAAAAGACGCCACATCTGCAACTGAAGGTACAACGTGAGGAGTGAGCTGCTGGCTGTCCTCTGGGACCCATCCGGTGGTCACAGGAACCAGACTGTCAATTAAATGAGGCTGCAGTGTGCCCCTCTGGTCTTTATTTACTTATTTATTTATTTATATATTTATTTTTATCCTCACCCGAGTACATTTTTGCATTTATCTTCAGACAGAGCGGGAGGGAGAGTGGGAGGGAGAGAGAGAGAGAAACATCGATGTGAGAGAGACACATCAACTGGCTGCCACCCACATGACCCCAACCTGGGGCCAGGGATGAACCAAAACCAAGGTACGTGCCCCTAGCAGAAACCAAACCCGGGACTCTCTGGTCTGCAGGCTGACGTTCTAACCGCTGAGCAAAACTGGTCAAGGCTGGTCTTTTTTCTTAATCCTCACCCGAGGATATTTTTTCATTGAGTGGGAGGGAGGGAGGGAAAGAGAGAGAGAGACAGGGAGAGAGAGAAACATTGATGTGAGAAAGACACATCAACCGAGGACAGGAAGGTATGTGCCCATGACCAGGAATTGAACCCGTGACTCTTTGGTTCATGAACTGACACTCTAACTGCTGAGCCAAACCTCCCAGGGCTCCTTTGGGTCTTTTTAAAAATGTATTGATTTTTAGAGAGAGAGGAAAAGAAGAAGGAGAAAGAGATAGAAACATCAATGGACCACCTCCTGCACGCCCCCTACTGGGGATCGAGCCTACAACCCAGGCATGTGTCCTGACTGGGAATTGAACCGGGACCTCTCCGTCCATGGGACACCACTCCATCCACTGAGCCAATCCAATGGCCAGGCCATTGTGAGCCAGACAAGACCAAGACTCCACTTGTTACTTGGCCTCCATCAGGTCCCCATTTTAAGAGGGACACGTGATGACACTCTGGCTCTCCAAAGATCATGTGAACTCAAACCCTATGTCCAACGCTCCTGGAAATGTTTGCACATTCCACCGGTCCTGGGCAGTCATCCAAATAAGTGCTGCAGGTTTCTCTGGGGGAAGGCTGGGGGAATCATTACTATATACATTTGCTTCAGGTGGCACGGTTCTGGGGACCCCGCCTTCCTCAGTCAGTGGGTTCTGGGTCTGACCCCTGTCTCGGGTACGGGAGGCAGGCAAGGGATTGTTGCCTTTCACTGGAGCATTGCCGCAGGTCTCCGACCGTCCATCCCTCATCTCCTTTAACTGTGTAGACTGGGCAGCGCCCTTGCTGGCTGCCCGTCTACTTTGCCCCTCGGATGCCAGGTTCTCTCCGTGATCTCCATAGCTCTCTGAGTCAGGCCTCCCTGGCTGCCACCCTGTCTCTGTTTGCTGCTCTCTTTGACTCAGCACCCTCCGGCTGCAGTCCTGTGTTCTCTCGAGACCTTGCAGCCCCTTTGGGGTTGGTTCCTCCCATCAT